AATATATTCAAAATCTGATATCCAACATCACATTAGAACACAACAATTCCAGGAATTATTAACACAAATGGACACTATACAAAGACAATCAATCGACCAAAACTTACGCAAACTTGCCGAAACAGCAGGATTTGCAGATATCTATACACAAGATTATAGCGGATATTTTAACGACATTAAAGACTATATATATCTAAACGGTGAAAAATACAGACCACAAGATATTTCACCCATAAATATTTTTAGCTTTGTTACACTAAAACATGAAATTCTCGATTTTCTAGGATGGCCCTATTACATCTTAGAAAAATTAACTATCCTATACGCAATGTTTAACTTTATAGGATTTCTTTTTTCACTTTTAAAAGGAATTTACAACACATGTGCTATACACACACAAGTAAATAGACAAGCAAGTGTAGCACGCATACTATTTGCAGGATTTTTTGGAATTTTTTCATCATCAATTAACAAAATTCTTCTAGACGCACAAATCAAAGAATATAATACAAAAATAGCAACAACACAGAACACGTACAACGAAGAACATAATAACATAGAAGTAACGCCTACAGCACCACAGCTGCGACCCCTACCACATAACCATCCATTATCCTTAGTCCCACAAAATTTCCGAAACCTAGCAGTAACGCATAACCCAAATTTTAGACCAAACATATCGCAAAGTCCCATACAACACATAATGACACATCATTCACAAGATGAAAATACATATGAACAATTTATAGAACAACCCCATAGCACCGCTTTTCAGTCTCAAAATAATAATTTTTTTAGCCCACGATGAGCCGACAACTTGGATCCCTACACCGCTCAAATTCCCATCCAACCAACCTCAACACTCCAATCACAATAATCCCACTTTTTGCTTTCCCGCCACTCGATTTTCCAACTAGTAATATAACATCAAGCATGAATTCGGATACTAATTCAGATATTTCAGTTTTATACTCCATTTCACAACTCAACAACCCTAATATCGAAACCCCTGACGAATTTGCAGACTCCGAACCATCTCCATCCAATAATTTTCAAACCAACTCCTCAGTTTTTTCAAAGCCCCCTTTTCAACCAATCCCAACAAATAATCCACTCCCGCCCATTTCTACTCCCTCTTATGCTTCACAAGTAACCCCAACCTATTCTCCATTTCATTCCGACCGACCATCTAATTCTCCCGATACTCCCCAAATTTCCCAAGAACTTGATAAATTTATCACCCTACAACAACAGCTAATACACCCTAACACCCGCACAATCAATCAAATTTCATCCACAATAGAATCCTCAAACCCACCTACTCCTACACCCTCCTCAGCCTATACTGCATCATTAGCACAATCATCAACATCCACCGAATCATCAAATAGCACTAACCGAGCTTATCGCACTTTTAAAAGAAAATTCCCAAACCATCCATTCCCGACCAAACCAGGAACAGCCCGTGAATATATTAATCATCCACACCACACCAACACGAAAGATTTTCTAGCAATCACCTTACCTTCATTTCCACAATATACTTTAAACACACCTAATGACACTAACGACACACGTAGTTTTGTAGATGAACATGTTTTAATGCCTACACTTCATTGGACAACATATTATCATTTTACTAATCCTCTTTGCCTCCCACTATCCAATACTCATAGCGATATAGAAAAGCATAAAGATATGCTATATAGACTCACCGCAACACTAACACCTAGACAATTTACTTATATAGGATATAAAAAATCACTAAAAACATTCACTGCACCCCGAGCTAACGAATTTACACTAGAATATTACGACCATAATATCATCCGAACTAATCAAGACCAATTTTTAGGTGACGACCGCTTCGCTAACCCACAACTAACAGAAAAATTCTTCATCAAAACATCATATGTATTCACACTCAATATTTTTGATAGAAAATATGATAACATAATTTCTGAAGCACTAACTGATATGCAAGCTTACGAAAGTTTTAAAGAAAAATTTCAATTACTTTCACTAACCTTTCACTTCCTTGCACCACATGAACGCGATTTGCACTGTTCACATGACATCATGTTACGCACTAAACAAACTCACACATATACATACTATCGCTTCATACAAAGTCTTTTTGATCTACATACTCCATCAAGACAACCACACCATCGTTTTCAGTTTCTTAACTCGAAGTACACCTCACCATTTTTTCTAAATTTCACCTTTTGCATCAAAGATACTAACCTTCACGGCATCCTCCGCAATTATGACCCAATAACACAGATGTATATATTTTGTCCCATCACGAAGACCTTTAATGCTGAAGAATCCAGACCCTTCCTTATCCCGCATGAATTTATTCAACCTATAGAAATCCCTATATTAGAATTTATTCATAATACTAAGTACAATCACAAAATATATAATCTCATTCAAAACACACTTTATGAATTTGCAGTTGGCACCGAAGAACTAAAAACTATTAAAGCACTTCAATTGCTTTGGCCACTGCTTCAAACTAAAAACATCATTCGCATACTAGCAAAGTTACTAACAAATTCCGACATGATACACGACATCTTCCCCCACGGTTTTTTCCCAGACGATTAACAGGTAAGTATAATTTCAAATATTCTTTACTAATAAATTTAAATTAATACTAACCAATCTTTACTCATGTTTCTTTTAGATTTTTAGTCCTCATACCACGATCATCTGCAAAAAACAGAAAAGAAAAAGAAAAAATAAAAACTTGTTAAAATTATTCTAAACTTAATTAATATTTTCACAAAATAATCTAGTAAAATTTATACAAAATGTAGTGAATTAATTTATAAATTATTCCCCCATAAAGCAGTAAATTTAAATATGATGAAAATTTATATCTTCCCCCAAAACTAGCAGTAAAATTGAAATTCTATGTAATAAATTAATAAAATAAAAATGCAGTACTAACCTTTGATATTTTCATTCACTCGCACAAGAATTCTATACAAACTCGCACAGCTCGCCCAAAAAGAATTGTTTAAATAATGAATTTCAGTTTCAAGTTTTCACACTCAACAACTCTAACACACGATAACAAGTTTCAAACTTTCCTTTAACCCGGTTGGAAAGGAATTATATACTAAAACAAACTAACCAACGCAGCTTACTAAACACCACAAACCATAAAATAACAGCATGACTAAGAAAAGAAAACCAACGGTACTCAAACCGGATTAACCCAGTTTAAAACTGGATAATTTATTCTTTTGAAGACTATTATAAAGTCTAAGAAAGAAAAAATAAAACAAAAAAAAGTCGAAAGACAAACCCATAACAAAAACAATTTGATTTTTGAAAAAAGGACACAACCAAAGGAACATAAGAAAGACCAACATAAACCCAACATAAAACGTTATCACATAACAGGACCTCTCAAAGAAACCGCACGAAATCATACTCCCACTCCTGGCCTAACCCACCAGAGAGGACGTCCTGAGCATGCTCTATAGCCGGCCTAACCCACCGTGCTACATCCACGCTTTGTGACCACACTTCTATTTTTAATAAGAGGTACTCAAGGGTGAGTAACTCTTCAAAATAACCGATCTAAAACAAAATGCTTTTGTGAAAACAACTAACTAAAATCATAATTAAAAAACTGAACTAATAGAAATTTTATACAATGTAAATTATACCTTGCAGTATATAGATCAGCACACAACAACAAAGACAAAATCCAAAGACAAAATGACCCCACTACACTCGAACAAGAATGGCTAACCACAACCGATATGCCGTCCACAATCACAACTCAAAGGATTTAGAGTACGACTTGACTTCGCAGAAAAGGACTTCATTGAACTAGACCAATGACCACCTCGATGTTCAAGTATACGTACAGATCCGAGTTACAAAGCATCCCCTCCACGCACAATCTCCACGCCATTCCCAGACGAGGTTGAACACAAAACAAGTTCTCTACATAATACAGAAAAACCCGTCATAGCAAACCATTTTGAAATCAGATTGATTTCGTTGGGAAACACAGTCGTTGTCACAAGAAGACACAACGATTAATGCCCCAAACTCCAGCGTCCTGGAACTTCTCTAACAAGAGGAACCGGACAAGAATACGATGTTCGCCCAATACCAACGTTCATCATCCATCCTTTGAATTGCAGAAAGATAATTCTAAAAAACTCTGTAAAACCCGGATGGGTGGAACCTGATCCAAACAACATTTTATGATTGGATAAATTAGATATTTTACCACTGTAAAGTATTTAATATTAACCAATCATGATCCATCTAACTAACAACCCACTTATTTGTAAGTGCTGAAATTACTTGTAATTTCAGCACCAGAGAGATTTGAATTTAACTTAGAAATTAGTTGCCTCTCCAAGAGAACTTCAGCCGCCGCAACAAACCAGTATACCCTAGATCTATTGAGCCTAGCAGAGACTAGTTAAACACCCTGAGACTAGAAAGTATAAGAGTAAGATTAGGATCGGTATTAGACTAAGAAGTTGCACGAATCTATCCGGCCGAAAATAAGATAGCGTGACGAGCAGACGGTGTACCCTATCCGAAATTACTCTATGAGTTAACCACATCGGTCATAACTCAATTTGACTTGACACGCTATTTTTTTGTGTGCGGGTGTCTCGGGTGGTTCCAGAATTAATTTTTTTTGGAAACAATGATTTCTGGTTTTTGCATGTTAATCACGTTATAGTTGATTGATTTCGAAAGACATGTTTAAAATTATTGTTATGGCTATTATGGTTGATTTATGGCTATTTTTCAGAAATTATTCAAAGAAAAATAAACACCGTACCTGTTTGAAATCTAAGTGTTTTTTCAAGTCATTCAATTTTGAAAAAAGAAACAGGCTTTTTCAATTTTCCTTAGCTTTGAAATGATTTCACGGTCAAGCAAGTAGCAGAAAAAAAAGATTTCATTTTTAGTCTTAAAAAACAAAAAAAGCAATTTGAGCTTCTCTGTAGCTAATCGTCCCAGATGTTCACAATGCAGTGGCAGCTACTACTCGCAGACAGGCGAACTCATCACAGACTCAGACCCTAGTCACTATACATGGTGCAAAGAGAACCCTCCAATGCCCAGCCAATGTGCAGACCCCTCTTACAAATTCTGTTACGTGAGCGAGAAGTTCAGAGCGGGATCAGATAACGCAGGTACTAAAATCAACGCCTGAGTTTTTAACTTAATTTATGAATCAAATGAAGAAATGCAATTTCCGGGATGCAAAGTTTAACGTTTTGGCTAAAATTTTTAGCTTCAACAATAAGCAAAGCTCAATTGTTGAGCATTCGGAAAAAACATACAAAACTATCTTCATGGAAATCTTTTCACGTGTTAGAGTTGCTACTGATTCAATTGGTTTAGTAAAATGGGGATACCCGAAGACGTTTGAGCGTGGTTGTCTGAAAGAGGAATCGTGGTCACGCTGTAAAGAGTATACGTTTCAAGACGAACGAGTAGCACTGCACTGTCAGTTTACATGCAGTGAACACGACTGCAACTTAGGTACCATATATTAAATGTTGCTCATTTTTTTCATGGTGGCTTGTCAATGAGCAGATGGTCTAAAAGCAGAAAGAGACTAAGCGCAGAACAATAGACAAATTTTGAATTATACGAGCAAATCAATAAAACCAAATATTGGAACAGTCAAAAGAACCAATGAAAAATAGAAGTTATAATTAAATTGAGTACGTTTATAAACTTTATAAAACTTGATGAAATTGCTCAAGTTGGGTAAAACTTATTCATTTCATTTGTAGTCTTGACTTTTCTAATACTTTGTATCGATTAGCCTATTAAAAATACTTCTAGCATCATAAGTTCCGGGCTCGAATCCCGGCGAGAACTTGTATTTTTTCATTATTCAATTGATATTTTTTTCCGGCAAAAACTAATGTCTAATTTTCGTGCTCAAGTTATGCCCACGTTTTGTCGGCTTAGTTACATCAGGATTTTTTTGTGCTATAAACAAGTACCATGGTAGTTGCAAGTTTTGCTCATTGCAGTTTCAGGGGGACGTAAAACTTTTAAACGTTTTTTCATAGAATCAATTTTTACAGGTATTACGAAAATGTATAGGAACAAGTTTAGGAACAAAATTGAATCATTTTTGCAACAATCTACTTTTTCTAAAAGAACTATTATACCGATTTTCAAAGTGGGTACAATAATGACCCATATAGATATGTTGGATGACACTTTTGTTTGAAAAATTACAAGAAAAAAACTATCATAAAAATTCTGTTTCCGAAATGGCGCTTGAAAAATTTCGATGATTTCATGTGGTACTTGATTTTGCGCAGAAAAAAAACGAACACATTCGAAGACAATAGTTTAACCTTTTTCAAAGGTCGAGACAAAATTCACACCTTACACACATGAAGACCGCATGTCATTGGACGAAATTATTTAGGTCGCTTAAATATTTCAAAAAAACCTAATTATTTCAAGTTTTTAGTACACCTTAAATTGGATTTTGATTTCTTCTCGAGCTGAAATCAAAATCATTTGCTTAAGGCAACGCAAATTAAGTTCTTGAATAACAAAAATGAAAATGCCCGGCTCAAAAAACGTGAATGACTTCGAAAAGTGATTTTTTTTTGGATTTTTCTGCAGAATAAAAAAATATATTTGTTCTTTATGCGTTAGTTTTATAATAAAATTGTTAATCAAAAAATCATTTTTTAAACTCGAGGAGCCCCAGCAAGATTTAGATGCGAAACCCAGTGTCTTGTGATCGAAGACTAGTTTTTTCCATCTGAAAATTTTTTCGTTCACAATTGTAAGTGAAATTGATTCTGCTTCTTTATCAATTCTTAGCAATTTCTTTGCCCTTTTTCTTTTGGCCTGGAAGTATTTATGTTGCTTTTGCAATCTATGGTTTCGATTTCCAGTTCCGGATGGGCTTTGTTTTATTTCTGAGTATGAAATTGAAAATCTTTAGCAAAATTATTTGATTGCGTTATTTTTCCGCTTATAAAGTTTTTTCAATTTTTGTCGGTTTACCGAAATTATTTTGCATCAGCTCAAGTATAAAAAAAATGGTTATTCTTGTTTACAATATATCAGATTGGTTTGCAGTATAGAGTTAAAAATTTTTAATCGCTTAAAATTTTTTATGACAAAAATTTTTTGTTTTCGGACCAAATGTCGACTATTTACGTGTTGTCGGCTTATTGATTGCTCGGAAAATACTTCAAGCTTGTTTACAGCCATTTTTTGTGTTTCTCGTCCGTTGTATTGAGATTGAAATTTTCGTAATTCAAAAAAAAATTGTTCATTCGGCATTTTTTGTTTTCGGATCATTTGATGTCTACCCATGAGTTATTGGCTTAGTAAACGCCCGTAAAACAGTGAAAACTTGTTTAATGATTGTTACTCCTGTCTATTTTCTGAAACTGACTATGTCTCATTTCCGAAAAGTTGATTTGGAAGTTTTTTTTTAACTTAGCTATTTCCATCCCACTGTCTGTGTTAGCTTACAACGCTGCGCTTTTATTGTATCACAAGTGATACAAGGCTCCGCTTCGCCTCTGTATATAAATTTTTAAATGAAAACAAGGAAAGCCGGTTGCTTTGCAATTATCACAGAATGCTTCGACCACATTCTCAGAATTTTTTCTAGTTATCTTTTTTTTTCTATTTCGTTTAATGATGGAGTTATACAAATGAGTAGAATTTAAGTGAAATGACAAAACCAACTACAATTGTCTTCAAACAAAAACAAACAAAAAAGATAACTGATTTCTCTCAAAAACTTTTTTCTTTTTTGCTCTTGAAGTTTTTTTTGCCAGAGAAGCGCTATACAAGGCTTCCAAAACTTTATCTTCTTTTAGTAAAATGAACAATTGTTAGCGCAAGTTGGCAATTTTCATACAAAACGAACGTAACTCGATCGTTTTACTTGCTCGAAAAAAGACGAAACATTTTACACCTGTTTTACTCGACATGGAATTTTTAAGGAAGTATTTTACTGTCGTTCGAATCACGACTGAAAGGGCTTCAAAATTAAATATCACTCAACCCAGACCGCTGATTATTTGCATTGCCTGATTTTGCGTTAAAAAAACTAAAGCACACCTGTATACAAAGTTCAACCCCATTTTCAATGTCAGAACAATCAACGATATACTGAAACTGTTTTGATGAAAAACAATCAAAATTATTTATATAAAAACTAGCTAAAATGTACGGTAAAGATAAAGGCAAGACGATTTTTAACGATTTCTTTTGGATTACTTGTACTAATGACCTAAGACTACGGCTCTTTTTCACTTCCCCCTCAACATTCAACATTTGAGTTGTGACAAACTAATTTTACCTTGCTATTACGGTATCAAATTTTGTATGGTGAACAAAATAACTATTGTCAACAAAATGATTCTTCATACTTTACATCGTAACATCACGCACTCAGCCATAATAACGCGTAATACAACTGAAAAAAAAAGAAATTTTTAAATGTGGGGGGAAAGTGGAAAAGAGCCGAGACTTCATTTGTTACAGGTTCCGATGCTATCAAACTGACGATATCTACCTCAGCTTTCCTAGTCAGCATTCTGTTTTCCGAGAACTTTTGGAGTGGATTATGACAACTACCGCACTCAAAACCCCAAGAGATATTTCAAATGAAACGATAAAAACTTCTGAAAAAAAAAATTAAATTGAAATGATTGGCTATAAAGACTTGAACTGAAAACTTTTGAAATGAGGCTTCAAAATATTTTCGAGTTCGATGTTGAATTTAGCCTCTAGATATTGCATCTTTTCATGCGAGTCCTGCAGCTGAGACCAGTGCAGTGGGTCCACTACAAACAATAAGCAGTTCAGTTGCTTCAGGTGTCTCAATTGTTTCAATTTCTCTCCTCGAAACTCCTCGAACATATTCACGCTGTCATACAGTGACGGACAGTCGACAACTATTCTAAAACCACACAGGATTCCCTTGTTTTAACTCAGAGACGAAGCTGTGCTTGGCAAACACTAGCAAGAAAACGCCAAATAGCAGCTCTGTAAAGTGAAATAAAAAACGTATAAAAAGCCTAGAAAATTAAAATTTCGATGTGGCCGATTCGATCCTACGACCAGTAGCGGATTAAGGGAAGGGGCGGACTATTCTCCATTCGTTTTTTTTTCACAAACTTTAATATTTTTTGATTAAAAAAATGAGAAGAAAGAAATTTATGAGAAATTGGAATCTTCTCAAAGGAGTTTCCGCTGCCGCAGGAAAATTTCTCACAACCGGTTCACTCGATTGAACGTTTCATCTCGTATTTCATAATCTAATTTCTGAGAAAAGCCAAAAATCTATAATGTGTATCTGCACAAAGAAGGTCGTGGTCGCTTTAGCTGAAAAGATTCCCAAAACCGGGTTTACCCGATTTACTACTTGACCTAAGAACTGGCACAGTCGTTTTCGAGAAAAGTCAAAAAATTTCCAAACAGTGGTCAAAAATCAAATATATCGAGGCCATGCCTTTTTGTGTTAATCAAATTAGGCCTAGCCGCTTGAACAGAGGAACTTCCCAGAACCCGTGTAATCAATTGGACTTGAAATTTTAGATCTAAAAAATTGGGTCAAAAACTCCCCCCCCCCCACAGTCTTTTTCAAAGGCTGTAAAAAGTAGGACAAAGTGACAAAAAGATTACAAGATTAAACAGTCACACTGAGGAGCAGGCGGTATTTCCTTTGATACCCCTTTTTTGGAAAATCGGTATAGTTTTTGAGAAACTAAAAAAATTTTTCACATTCTTATTGTAGAAAAATTTTCGACAGCATCAAAAAAAAAAATGAAAACCAAATCCACTGCATTTTCATAACACCTATTTTATCACAGATGAATTCCAATTTACAATGGCAAGCAAAAGATTTGAATTTTTTTACACTAGCAATAGAACAAAACTTACGAAGGGAAACAAAGCCGACAATCTTTGAACAGACACCAGTTGAGCCGAAAAAAATAATTGTTTAAAAAAACTCAAAACGTTTCAAGTACTCCCTGAAACTACAATGAACAACACTTTTAAATACCATGTTACTTGCTAACGGCACAAAAAAAATCCTGCATGCGGCACCTAAGCCGTCAAAGCTTGAGCCGACAAAGGAAAGCCCGACAACTCAATTTTTACCGGAAACACTTATCAATTTTATACATATTGGAAAAAAACCAGGTCCCGAACCCCAGACTTTAGGGTGCATAATCAACCGCGTTACCCGCCGGGGACCAAATCCCAGACCTTAGGGTGCATAGCGACTGCGTTACCTCCAATCCAAATGCGAAGCTGTTGGCGCTCAGAAATGAAGCATGTTCAATTTGTTCAATTTATTGTTGAAAAGTTGTTTACGGAGGAAAAACTGTGAAAAATGAAAACAGCTTTTTTGAGAATTTTTTTTTCACAAAAAGCCAGTTCTATTGATTGAACACTCCCTCTAAGATTTGACAGGGTATATCCTGAGAAAGAAAGTTTCTAAAAAACGGTCAAAACTTTTTTCTACAAACGTTAGGGCGTAATGGTTTAAAAAGGGCAGGTCCCCACGACATGCTCGATCAATTTAACGTTTAATCTCATATTTTGTAGGGCAATTTTTCAGAAAAAAAAAGAAAAAAGAAAACGGATCAAAAATTCTACACACTGAATTTTTCGAAGTCCGTAGAATGTGGTGTAAGGTTAAAAGAGACTAGCGTGAGATGCATACAAACATTGGCGTAACCAGCGTTTCCACTGATTCAACTTTTGAAAAAATTGGCGAGCTAGTTTGAGAAAACATTGGCGAAGGCAAAAAATTTTCCAAAGTATCTAAAAAAAAGACATAATCGAATACATTTTTAAACGCGAATAGACTTTTTTCGTGAACAATTTTTCTTACAATTTTTCAACTTACTTTATTATTGAATCACAACAATTTTCAGATTCCTTCGCGCTTGGCTTAGAGGTAACGCCGCCGCCTTTGCGCCTTAAGTGTCATGGTTCGAACCCCGGCTGGACCTTCAGTATTTATGCAGTATTTTCAGTTTTTTTTTTTCAGTATGTATTCATTTGGAACTTTCGTTCCGGTAAAAAATGATTTGACACACTTTCGTTTACCGGCTGAAATTTTTTCGGTTTAAATTCATCACGCACTTTTCATGGTAAGTATCATGGTAGTTGCAAGTGTTGTTCATTTGTAGTTACAGAGGTACGTAAATCTTTTGAACATTTTTTTTATAAACTCATTTTTTTCGGCGTAATTGTTGTCTGCTCAAAGATTGTCGGCTTTGTTTCCGCTTCGTAAGTTTTGTTTCGTTAAAAATTTAATGTTTAAATGTCTTGCTTGGCATGCTTTTCTAGATTTCCTTTTTGAAAGTATTGGAATTGTGCTTTTCAATTCATATTTTTTTTGAGCTTTGGAAAATTTTTCCACTATAGCAAAAAATTTAGTATTTCTCAAAAACTTTACAATCGATTCTCAAGAGGTATCAATGGAAAATCTGCCCACTCCCCTAGGTGTCTGCATACCACCCTAGTCTCTTTTTACAGTATAACTCCTCAGCCTTCGAAAAACTCGGGTTTGACCCATAAGTTTGGATTTTTCGTTTTTTAAAACAATCCTTCGCAATCTGAGATTTTGAAATCAATGGAAAAAACGGGTTGTGGGAAACTCCCCTTTATAAGAAGCAACACCTAAATTGCTTTTCTTGAAAAAGTATGTCCCTCGGAACATTTGAAATTTTGACCAATTTCTGAAAACTTTTTGATTTTTCTCGAAACATAACCTCCCAACTCTGTGATACTGGTAGTTTTAAGGGATATATCAAAATTGCCCTGCTTTAGCGGCCATGAGTGTTAAGTTGCCCTGCTTTGGCATACACACGAAATTTCAATCACAAAAAATCTTGCCCTTGGGAAAAGTCAAACTTTTGACGTTTTTTAAAACTTTTTGAATTTTTTCGAGAACTACCCTTCCAAATCTGATTTTTGGGTTCAATCAAAAAAATAGATTGAGAGAAGCTCCTCTGCACACGCAGATACGCCGAATTGTTAAACCAAAAAGCTATGATTCTAGGAAATGTCAAATTTTTGACGTTTTTTAAAACTTTTTGAATTTTTTCGAGAACTACCCTTCCAAATCTGATTTTTGGGTTCAATCAAAAAAATAGATTGAGAGAAGCTCCTCTGCACACGCAGATACGCCGAATTGTTAAACCAAAAAGCTATCATTCTAGGAAATGTCAAATTTTTGACGTTTTTTAAAACTTTTTGAATTTTTTCGAGAACTACCCTTCCAAATCTGATTTTTGGGTTCAATCAAAAAAATAGATTGAGAGAAGCTCCTCTGCACACGCAGATACGCCGAATTGTTAAACCAAAAAGCTATGATTCTAGGAAATGTCAAATTTTTGACGTTTTTTAAAACTTTTTGAATTTTTTCGAGAACTACCCTTCCAAATCTGATTTTTGGGTTCAATCAAAAAAATAGATTGAGAGAAGCTCCTCTGCACACGCAGATACGCCGAATTGTTAAACCAAAAAGCTATGATTCTAGGAAATGTCAAATTTTTGACGTTTTTTAAAACTTTTTGAATTTTTTCGAGAACTACCCTTCCAAATCTGATTTTTGGGTTCAATCAAAAAAATAGATTGAGAGAAGCTCCTCTGCACACGCAGATACGCCGAATTGTTAAACCAAAAAGCTATGATTCTAGGAAATGTCAAATTTTTGAGGTTTTTTAAAACTTTTTGAATTTTTTCGAGAACTACCCTTCCAAATCTGATTTTTGGTTTCAATCAAAAAAAATAGATTGAGAGAAGCTCCTCTGCACACGCAGATACGCCGAATTGTTAAACCAAAAAGCTATGATTCTAGGAAATGTCAAATTTTTGACGTTTTTTAAAACTTTTTGAAATTTTTCGAGAACTACCCTTCCAAATCTGATTTTTGGGTTCAATCAAAAAAATAGATTGAGAGAGAGAAGCTCCTCTGCACACGCAGATACGCCGAATTGTTAAACCAAAAAGCTATGATTCTAGGAAATGTCAAATTTTTGACGTTTTTTAAAACTTTTTGAATTTTTTCGAGAACTACCCTTCCAAATCTGATTTTTGGGTTCAATAAAAAAAAATAGATTGAGAGAAGCTCCTCTGCACACGCAGATACGCCGAATTGTTAAACCAAAAAGCTATGATTCTAGGAAATGTCAAATTTTTGACGTTTTTTAAAACTTTTTGAATTTTTTCGAGAACTACCCTTCCAAATCTGATTTTTGGGTTCAATCAAAAAAAATAGATTGAGAGAAGCTCCTCTGCACACGCAGATACGCCGAATTGTTAAACCAAAAAGCTATGATTCTAGGAAATCTCAAATTTTTGATTTGTTGACTCTTTTTTGGACTTTTCTCGATAACTATACTGGCAAATCTGATATCATAGTTTGAATTAAAACAAGTTGATGACTGTCTAATCTTACTCTTGGCTACGTCCAATTTTTTTCATAATAGAGTAATGGCCTTAACAACGACAAACTTTGGAAACAACTAAGGTTTCGGGCAAAGTCCAATTTAGGAAATTACGTCCCGCATCATTATAACCAATTCAAAAACCATTAAACATGTGTCTCCAAATTTAGCTGGGCCCCTACTTGTCTTTTATCGAGACATACAAAAAACTTGGTCCGCCTGTTTTTTTTCAACATTTTTCATTTTTCCACACTAGCCAGTTTTAGTGAGCGTTAGTGTTCTTATTTTTTTTTCTAATCTAAGTCTCAAATATTGGTGCCACTTTTGGAGCAGCCTTGCCGCTTTTTGATAGATGTGCTTTGATATTCTAGTAGTAATTAACATGCGAAGCTGAGCTTCGCACCACTTGCGATACAAATTTCATTGAAATCAAACGAAAAAATTTGAAAAATTTGAAACTAAAGCAAACATTATTTACAGCAAAAAAAACGATTATTAGATCTGGTAACTAAGCCGACAAAACATAAGCAGACAAATAAAAGCCCGATTTTTTTGAACCGGATTATTTACCGTTTGAACAAAACAGGTCCTGGTCAGATTCAAACCAAAGACCTTTGCTGTCTCAGGTGTATTCGTAACCTCTAAGCTAAGTGCGCAGGAGACAATAAAAAAATTTGAATTCAATGAACGAAGGTAACATGAGTCCAGATTAATCCAGAAAATTATTTACAGCAAAACAAAAACAATTCTTAGATCTGGCAACTAAGCCGACAAAACATAAGCAGACAAATAAAAGCCCGACTTTTTTGAACCGGAATATTTACCGTTCGAACAAAAACAGGTCCTAGTCAGATTCAAACCCAGGCCCAGGCGAATTCATTACCTCAAGGCTAAGTGTATAGGAGACACTAAGAAATTGGAGTTCATAATGATCCAAGGTACCACGAGTCCAGATGAGTCCCGTGGACAAGTTGTTTACGGAAAAAAGTCTAGTACCCGATTGCAATACCCTTGCTTATAGCAAGGGTAATTAATTGATTAACGCAGTTGGTACATTTTAAATTCATCGAATGAACCGAAAAAAGCTTACTTTTTTCAAACAACAACAATAAAAACTCGATTTCAGAAACTTTCTAACTCAAAATATCTCGCAATTTTTTGAAATGCATAATTTATACATAATGTGGCTTTATGTTTTCCAATTCATTACGTGCAAAATTAGCGTGGATGCCTTGAGTTTGTTATATTCCAAACTATCAATTGCAAAATTGTGTCTGTTTGTATTTGATGCCACTTTTGCTGCACCGCATTGGTAATTTGTTAGTATATGTAGCTGATTCATTTAAGACTAGTGGTTGACGTTTATTAAACGTTCTTGGCCGAGAGGGCGTGAAAACACAGTTCTCGACGTTGTAGGTTCAAAGCCCATACGTAGTAAAGTTTTACTAATTCGAGGCTTATTTCTATTTTTTTTATTTCACTTTATTAAACTGCTTTTTTGCCGTGTTCTAGCTAGTGTTTGCGAAGCGCAACTTCGCCTCAGTGTCCACTTCTGTTTTTTTATCTTTGTGTTGTATTATAATTGATGCGAAGCTCCGCTTCGTCTTTGTGTCAACAGGGTGGAAGCGGCACTTCGTAAACACAAGAGAGAAAGCGACAAAAAGCAGCTCTAAAAAGAGAAATAAGAAAAGGAAAAAATAAGCCTTGAATAATAAAACTGTAGTATGTGCCGGATTCCAACCTGAGACCGTTAAATTAATAGTCTCATGTCCTGGCATCTGCGCTACAGATCAGTGAAAATTGCCTAACTTTAGCCACCAACAAAGTTGTTACAGATGCTACACAGCAAAAATGCCACCAAATATTAACTAAAGTCAACTACATTAATATTGTACGCAATAAATTGGAAATTACAAAGCCAAATAATGTATTAACAATACATTTCAAAAACTTTGCGAATTTTTATTGTACTCTCGTATAAACACAAGTAGCTTTTTTCGGTTCATCTGATAAACTAAAATGCATCGACTGTGTAAACTTATTACTAATCGAATGTCAAAGCACACGCCATTAAGCCTGCTTCAAAAATTTCATTAAGGTTGGATTGAAAAATGCCTTGCAGTAATACACTACGTTGCACTTCTGTTATAATCAAAGAAATTGTATTTCAAAAGCTGATAGGGCTATATTTCGAAAGCTCAAGCGGTAAGCGGTCTCAATTAAGCCTAACTCTCAGAAAAAGTCAAGAAGAGCAGTTTTCTTGTTTCGTCGATCAGGCAATAGTACACTTTCCTGTTCCGTTGATTTTCAATGCGTTTAATTGAAAAAGCGTTATTTTGTTTCAACACCGATAAGTCACATATTCACCAGCGGATTCAGGGGAGGGGGGTGTCCGGACGCCCCCTTAGGGAGTCGACCCCCTGCCGATCCAAAGGGTCCCCTCTTTGTACTATTTTGAGATATCCATATTTGGCTGACGGACCCTAAAAATTTTCTAACGGATCCTTTCGCGCCAATATATACTTAATTTGAGGCGGGGGGGGGGGGTGGAGGGGGGCGGGAGCGCTGAAAAAACACGATTTTTTTAAATCCAAAAAGTGCCTAAAAACGCCTTTGTTGGCCAAAACAGAAAAATTGGCCAAAACAGGGTCTTTATAGTGATCTGGGAGAGCTCGGAAGTTCAATTCGGTCGACCTAAAAAAAAAGGTCGACAAAATTTTCAAAATTTTTTAAAAAATCCGCCCCCCCCCTCGAGAAAATCCTAGATCCGCCCCTGCACATCTATAATGGACCTAGCCAGTGTGCGCATGACGTCGCTTACAAAAGTTCATGTACTTCGGCTAATACGACCGAATTTTTTCCCCTTCTGTCCGTTTCTTTAGGACACCCTGTATAAGGTTCCCAGAAAACGCATTGGATAATTTACTTACTGTTTGGCGTCAATTTCATTCCACAGCGTTTTTGGCAGCAAAATAGCATCTAAACAACAAATATTGGTATTCTATAAGATGTAAAGACAACTCTACTGCTTTGGAGAAAACAATAGAAGGTAGAAGGTATTTTCGGGGAAAACGGATTACTAATATCGACGATTTAAACATGTGCTGCTCAAAAATTTAATGCTTATTATAGAAATCACATTAACCTTTTGAGGTTTTGAATGTAATTCAAAACATTGATTATCTCTATGGGGGCTATTCTCATGCGCGAATGACCGAATGGGCGAAAAAACTTGTGGGCCAAAGACCGAAGACAAAATTAGCCGAAAGTCAATTTTTAAAAAGAAACAATTGCCACTCAGTTAAAATGAAATAAATGAAGCAATATTTTGCTTCTTTCATTACGAAATTAAAATTTGTCCCAATTTTGCGGCGGTCAATAACAGTTTGAAAATTTTGCGTATTTCTGCCGTTTTTATATTCGGCCAATATCAATACACCAGTCCCTGGAAACGTTTAATTTCTTTCCAAATTTTAGATTACTGAAATCTGATCTGATTGGCTGATTTTTATTTTGGCGCATTCGGTCCTTCGCGCATGAGGGATTCCACCATCTCTATGCTTTATCCAAAACATTCTTACCCGCAATGTATCCCAATCCTACATGAGCACTGGGCACGAACTCCAAACCCAATTTATCGGCCGCTTCCTCGAAGAACTGTCGTGCATGTACATGAGCATCGGACAACACCACTTCAGACTGTTTCACAGCTGCCAGATCCTCGACAGACTCATTCAGCACCAGGCGCAGATTGAGAGCAGAGGGGAGTCGGCTGAGACAGCCTTCGGCCAGAATCATCTGAGCACAGAAGCGCTGGTATTGAGCAAAGGTGTCTAAACAAAACAGAAGCACTCAAATAAAACCAGACAAACATTCCATTCAGCAGCCGTTTTTTTAAATTTTTTTCAAATCTAAATTTGACGGTTAATTGAAAAATTCATTCATCAGATAGAATTTTCGAATTTGCTTCTATCAAACAACTAGAACACGTGACTTTATCCTAACCTGATGCACCATCCAGGTCATCCTCTGTAATCTTGAATGCAGCTTCAATGTGAGGTCTGACTGTCTGGAAGTGCTCTTCCGTTAACATGTTGAGCAGCACTAATGATTTAAAGAAAGTGAGGTTTTCCGAACTATCGCATTGTTTTGTTACGCAGTCCGAGATCAAATTTTTCAGAGTGAAATTCTCCGACAAATTTCTGCCAGTTTCTGGCGAAACGCTCAGATCATCAAGAGACACGTTGAAGCTTAAACAAAAATGTGTCAGCGCAGAGCCCTGAGATCTCTAACAATAGTTGAAGTTTCTCTGATACACAAATTAATATGCAACATCAATAAAAAATCACAATTTCTATGCACACGAAATGAAAAATTGTAAAATTTCACAAATAAAACCTTGAATTGCCAACCTGGCGAGGCAATTAATGAACTCTGCGAAACACTTTCTATCCTGTGTCTTCTGTATGTCCATAGAATTGTCTTCTCTCAATCTGACCATGAGAGGCACCATTGCATTTGCCACTCCCTGTATTATTGGGTCACTCTTGAAGTGCATCTTGCGGCACAGAGTGAGGAAGGAAGTTGCCATCTGAGGCGTGATCGAATCCGTCTCGTTCAGATCATCTAAATGATTTCATTCCACAATTGCCACACCATTTAAATGTATTCAACACAACACGAGCTCGCTCAGAAACATGTCCTTTTTATATAGAGACTCAACTTTTTGTCCAATTTGCTCGCAACAGGAAAGATCAAGGTACTCTTTTAGAAGTATGGTCCCGCGTTGAAAACCTCGCTTAGTATAGTCCCGAAAATCTACTTTTGGTCTCCACATATATAAGTCAGACAGAAGTCGTTACAGATAGTTTGTACATTTTGCTAGTGAGTTGATATTTGTAATAACTTCATTTAATAGAAAACTTCAGTGGTAAATCGAACGAAGAAATGTTCACAAGGAACCTTTTTGTTTTTATCCACTTGAAGTACTTCAAGTAGAGATTGACGTGCGGGACCATGCTTCTGAACGAATGCCAAGACCAATTTGCTTACACAAGAAGGCCTCTGCCGCCCTGTTGAGCAGGTTCTCGTCATAATAGTTGAGCATACTGAGACTGTAGCAGATGGATCTCAGTTTGGGCCTGGCGAGTCTCTTCTCCTCTCGATGGTCCAATCCCGTTTCTGCTATAGGAGAGAGGAAGGAGGCACAGATGGCTGAGATGAGAGTGAGGGATCTGCAGGATATTTTGGCCAAGTAGTCCAGTAGAGATACCCGCTCATTCAATGTGGATTTCTCAATCAGCTGAATAAGAGCGTTGCAGTTAAAGACCGGTCAAAAATCAAGATTTCAATTAAAGCTTTCAAATTATTATCAGTCGGTTGAAAGATGTGCTCGGCTTTAGATCTAGCCATTAATGAGGAGAAATTTGAATTACTTGTCATATCAACAAAAACAAGATTGAATGTTTGGCCCCAGATAATGCCAATTTCGAAAATATTGAAATCGAGAAGAAATGTCAGAAGCCTAGAAATTTTTCATGATGAAAAGTTATCAAAGAACGACAGATTAATCATGCTACTAGACTATGACACTGGCAACTAGGATAGTGAAAACGCTGCTCATCTAGCTCGCTCCTTTGTTATTTCTAGGGAGACTACTGCAACAGCCTTTATTTTGGTTGACTGCTGAGCATATTTATAAACTTCAGCGCGCTCAGAATGCAGATGCTGGTTTCGTTTCTACCTTGAATCGCACAGCGCATACACCCCCGGCTCTAACCGAGCAACAAGGGCTGCCGATTAAATTTCTATTGATTTTTAAATCACAAAGCTTGTTTTTCTAATTATGCAATATTAACACATGCCAAGTTATCCGATCAACATGTTGTTGCTCTTGTTGCGTTATGGAAGAACCGAGGAAGAGCAAAATTCCACAAGATGTTCGATGCCTGCATTCCTTAGAAGTTTGTAAGCGCAATCTGAAGAATCACTTTTTTGTAACTAATTTAACAACTTCATAAAAATTTGTAACACATTGTATTAAAAAACATTTTATTCTTCTTCTTATTTGGTAAATCAACTTAAAATGTAAAATTCGTAACATTTGTTGTTTTTTTTTCACCAAAAAAGGCAGAGAAAGTTTGACCTTTAGACTCAAATTAAAAACACTTACACTCAAATTAATAGCGCAATTGATTAACAACATCATTATCATCACCATCACCATCACCATCTTCATCATCTTCATCATCATCATCATCATCATCATTATCATTATCTATCATCATCATCATCATCATTATCATCATTATCATCATTATCATCATTATCATCATCATCATCATCATCATCATCATCATCATTATCATCATTATCATCATTATCATCATTATCATCATTATCATCATTATCATCATTATCATCATTATCATCATTATCATCATCATCATCATCATCATCATCATCAGCATCATCCATCATCATCATCATCTTTGTCTTTGTGTGCCATTCAGCTCCTTGAGGAGTTTGCACGGGGAGTCCTTCTACAGTTGTGCAGCCGCGGCAGCGGCTCCCAGCTGCACGATGTCGCAACCACAATGCCACCTGTAGTTGGCTAGTATTCGCATTTCACTAATGGTCATTCCGGTGCATCTTCTATGGAACCAATAGAGGCAATCCACGCATTTGATGGACCATCCGTTAGCTGTCACTCTGGTTTTGCAAATGCCACATGGGTAAATGACTCCAGTCTGTTGAGTCTCGGCGATGGTTGCTGTCTGTTGTTCTACACACTTCTTTCGGTGTCTTGCCAAGTTACTTCTGCTGATAACTTTTTCACACTTTCCGCATGCTCTTGGTACGGTTTCGCTACAGCTCTTCAGGTGACTTATAAGGTTTGCTTGACAAGCCGTCAACAATCCGCATTTGGGGCAGTTTCTCTCTTCTCTGTCCAACTTATGCATCTTCCTCATGTGATTCTTCATTCCCAAGTGATTTTTGAGGATCTTGTTGCACACAGGGCAGTCGTTCGTTCCAGAGTCAATCTGGTCTCTTCTCGTGTCCTCTCGTTCCGCTTGTTTCTTTTCCCAGTTCTTCATGTGCTCTATTCGTTCGCTCACCATTGGTCTCCACGATCTTCTGTTCATGACCACTTGTTCCATGTGATCTGGTTCCACTCCTGCGTCCTTCAGACATTTCCTCCAGTACTCGATTCTTATTTGTCGTTTTCGTTTAGTCTGTCTGGTTTGGTCCGTTGGCCAGCCCAACGCAATTTGTTTCGTCATCCGGTTGTTTTTCATTCTGAGGACATGTCCAATTCTTTGTAGTATTCGTTTCGTGATTTTCGTCTCTATCATGGTCACTCCAAGTTGTTCTCGCACTTTGAACAGATTGGCTCCTTTCTCGGCCATCTCGATTAGCGGCGGGCTTTTCTTGTCTGACCATATGTATCGGTAGGTTTTATCCAAAGCTCTTTAAGTCTGATTTTTTTTTCGCTTCTATGCTAAGGTCGGATTTGTGCATCGAACAAGGCCGTCGATTCTGCACACGCTTCGACAACTCTCGCTTGGGCTCTCTTTGTCAGCTTGCTCGATTTCAGCCTCTTCTTCAACACAAAACAGGCCTTCATCATTCTGCTTACTCTTTGTTTCACATCGTGCTTCCTGCCCAAGTATGTTCTGAGCATATCCGTATTGCGTTCGCTTCGTTTCTTCCGAGCTCCAGACGTTCTTCTTTTCCAGGGTGGCACTTTTCTTCGAACCATCAACTTTCTTTGTGGAGGTGTTGCCTCTCGCTTTTCTCCTGTCTTTCGGAGGCAAGGAGTGACCGGGTATGTACTGCCACTCAATACCCAGATTGGTCCCGTCCTCTTCACACCTTTTCCGTCTTTCTTCTTGGCCAGTCTCATTACTGTTCAGTGGTACACATTCTTCTCTCAGCCCTTTTTTCGTTGTCCAACTGGTGCTGTCCGTCTCTTTCCCCCGGATCTTGTACTCTGTTTTTTCGTGTATTGCTTCCAGTGCTCTTCTCATCTTTCCTTTCATTCCGAACTTCGTCAGGATACTCCACACTATAGGTCTGTCGACTCGCGGGTACGCTTTCGTTACTGGGTCATCGGGCTGCTTCACACTAATTTCCACCGTGCGTTGCGCTTTATCATGGGTTCTGATGAGCACTTGCGTTGCGTCCGCTGTTGACCTTCCTGTTCTAAAGCCTTGCTGGTTGTCGTCCATGAGATTCATTTCTTCGGCCCACTTTCGAAGCCTTGTCGCCAGTACTCTCGCAAGAATTCTCGGCGCCATGGTGAGAGGACAGACACCCCGGTAGTTAATGAGGTTGTTCCTTTGTCTTTTCTTGAACAACGGTATCACCAGACCTGTCTTCACGCACGCCTCCCACTACAGCGGAAGTGTGTCATACAGCTGCTGTACCAGCTCAATCACCATGTTCTGTGTTCTCTCGTCAGCTCTCCTGACTTAAGTTATCCTCATTTCATCTTCGCCTGGTGCCCATGAAATGAGAATGTGTCATTTTCATTTCACAGATCGCATTCTTTATCTCTCTCTTCGTTAAGTCTTTCTCCAATTCTCGTGTGGTCTTTTTTCGATCTTCCATCTCCGGTATTCTTTCTAGTACTCCTTGGTCAATTCAAGTGTGTTTTCGGGCCTCACTGCAGACACTTTCGAGAAGTATTCTCTGTACTCCTTCGGTGAGAACTCCTCGCTCGCTCGAGCTGATTTCGAGTCTCTCAGCCCCAGCTTGACTAGCAGCCTGTACATGGTTCCGATATCATTTCTCTGTTGTGCCATTTTGGCTTCTTCAATGATGCTGTTCCAGTACAGCCTTTCCCAACTTCGCTTCTCTCTTTGGTATCTTCGTCGTGCCACTCTCATTAGTTTCTTTGCTCGCTTGTGTTCTTTGTTTTCTGGGTCGTACATCCTCTTCAGGATTTCCTTGGCGCTTCTGGCGGCAATGCTGATGTTTCCACGCATTTCTTGACTGGCGTCTTCTTTCCCTACCATACAGGGAATGTCCACATTCTTCGGCGCTTTGCCACATACCTCTAACGCTGCGTCGGCAAGAGACTTCGTCACGTAGTTCCACGAACTGTCGGTCATCGCTTCGAATCTTTTCTCCGTCACTTTCTGGAATTTCTTTATTTTCTCTTTGTCCCTCAGTTTCTCGATGTTCACCCGTTTCTGTCTGGTCGTTTTTTTTCCATTTCGGCGCTTGTCTTCTAGGATCACTCCGGCTGTCTTCACCAGCTGGCTTCTCTGCGTTCTTCTGACCGAGAATCCGTCTAGCTCGTGTCACTTTCCGTTCATCTGGTTTTGCCATGTGCCTCGTCGATCGAACTTGTAAAAAGAGTCACACCACGCCAGTCCGTTATTCTGGCACCACTGGAGAAGGTACCTGCCAGCTTCGTTTGTTTTTCCCAGACCAAACGGCCCATAGGTCACGTCCACGAACTTCTCTTTCTCTGTTCTTCCGATGGTTGAGTTGTGGTCCCCTCCAGTCACCAGCCATTCGGCCGATCTCGTTTTTTTTTTCAGATGTTCTTCGAGTTCACACCGGTATCGCTCTATGTCTTCTGGTCCGTAGCTTGAGTCCGGTTGGTAGCAAGCGATCAGTTTGATGTCTCCTATCCTCACCATCGTCGTTCGTTTGCCGAATTCTCTCGTCATCCCTTTGTTTTTGTCGCCACTCCCTGGACAGAAAAATTGCCGACTTCTTCAAGTGGATCACTACAGAGCCTTTTTTCCCTTCGCCAAACTAGATAACTCCTGATTCGTCGACGGACATCTCCGAGATGAGCACCACGTTGCATTTTTTATTCTGACAAAAGTTCACGACTTCTCTGAGCTTTCGTCAGTTGTTCTGCCTCATTGACATTCTCTGTTGGTTCCATGTCACAATGATGGTTTCCTTCTTCTCGTGGTATTCCTTGTACATCCTCTCTTTCACGATCTTCCTTCTTCTTTCTCTTTTCCTCTTCTTATCTCGTCGTCGCTCTTCTCTGTTGCCCCCTTTTCTTTCCTCATCGGGCCCGGGTTGGTCTCCAACGTTCTCAGTTGTATGCGACGCTGGGGGGTTCTGTGCCTGGATCCCCCTTTCAGGTTGCCCATTTCCGGGCCTCCCCATATGTGTTCATTGTTGTCTGTGTTACTGCATGGGATTGCAGTCTACACTTTCCGCCACGGTAAGGCGTCGACATTGGCAAGCCACCACCGCCACTACCACCACCACCATTACCATCATCATCATCATCGTCGTCTCGTTTCCATTTACGTCCCCTGTGGGGACCTTGGACCCCGTCTCTTGAGGCAAGCTTCTTTGGGTCTCGACATGTTGTTCGTGGTGATATACTTTCCTTATATCACGAAAGGGACCTTTTCCCTTTTCTCCTCGTAACCCCCCGTTGCCTTTTCGTTCTTCGGCTTCTCTATCGCGTGTCCTCTTCCCCTGCAGGTTCTTCTGTGTCTAGCACTGTTTGTTGCTGAGAGGGTCCTGATGCATTTCGGTCAGTATTCACTTCTCCCCGGAACGATTTGTAAAGGTTTGTAAGCGCGGCTTGGCTATCAAAGGGGCCAGAGCACTCCAGGCACACGTGCTGAACGTCTTCCTTCCTATGTACCCGTCTCTCATGGCTCGTTCTCCCCCCCCCCCCCCCCTTTCGAGGCACATTCTGCCGCACCCATTCCACCTGCAAGGCCACCCATCATTTGAAAATTCCCGTTTTCTCCAGGCACATTGAGATCCAATTGGCTTAGTGTCTTCCCGATGCCAATTATTATTTCTTTCTCCCAACCCATTAGATACTCCTTCTTTTGCTTAACCACACCTCTCCACACTTTCCTGTCTTTTGTCAGATTCTCCGAGTTGTCTTTTTCGTGTCCCGCTTCTCTCATTAACCTTCTCCATTAGCTAAGGGTATTACCCTGAGTCGTACCTTTAGTGGTTCTCTCTTTGTTCAAAGACCCTAGGACCACCTTCATTACTATTCTTTAATTAGCCATCCTGAGTATATGCCCCATTCTCTTTAAGGCTCTAATCTCAATTTTGATACGCATGGACTCTACTCCCAACTGCCATTTATCGAAGCTATTTATTCTCTCTTCTTGTATGCTTATTAGAGTGCTGGGCTTACTGTTGTTCCACACGAATCTGTACGCTCTGTCAGCTACACTCTGAAACTTATTAAAGTCCGTCGGTGACCATGCCCTTATGCTGCAGTCGAATAACATGGTCGATTCGACCACTACCTGTACTATGACTGCACGTATTTTCTTTGATAAGTTAGAGTTCCAAAGCCAGCGCTTGGCTTTACTCCAAACATATGGCTTCAAAGCTCTTCGAATTTCAAAAAAAAATAAGATTAACGTTTTTTTGATGAAACTAACCCAATTTGAGAGAACTATTTCCATAGGCAAATTATTATTCCGGTGGGATATTTGAAAAAAAATGTCCATTTTCGAAACTAGAAGTCGACCCAATTTTTTGTGAGCTTTACAATTTCTTGTTCGATATTAGAGTTTGTCTTCTTTAAAACAAAAAAATGTGGTGAAGTTACATTTGTTTTCTTTTTAATTTCACTTAATTTGAAAACAAATTTTTTAAGAGTTACACAGAGGCGAAGCTGCGCTTCGCAAACACTTGCGAGAACAAGACCAAAAAGCAACTCTATCAAGTGAAATAAGCCTCGAAGTAGCAAAAACTCGGCTACGTGGATTCGAAGCTGCAACCTACTGCAATCACGAGATTTTGAGTCTCACGGACTATGCAATCAGCCACGCAAGCTTAACCGACAAACACTAGTCACGAAAGAAACTTCGCATGTAACAAATCGCAAAGCATAACGCCACATTATGTATAAATAATGCTTTTCAAAAGTTGCTAGATTGAGTTAGAAAATTCCTGAAATCGGGTTTTCATTATTGTTATGTTGTCTGAAACAATCACTTTTTTCGGTTCATTTGATGGATTAAAAATGCATCAACTGACTTAACTTATTAGTATTCGAATGTCAAAGCACATGCTATGAAAAAGCTGCAAGGGTGCCCAAAAAGTGGCACCAACATTTGCTTGAAAACTGTTCACGCTCATGTTTGATTTTTTGCGGTTCGACTTTGAATTTCTTTTCAAAATTTTTCATGAAAAAAGACTAACAAAAAAATCAGCAAGACCTATATAAGAGTATTGGCTTCTTTCGTAACTCTAAAATCTCTGGCCCATTTTTTGCTCTTTTTTTGTCAATCGAAGAGAGTAAAGTCGTGGGTAAAATTTTGATTAGAGTTTTGCAAAACAATATGCACCTTAAGAAATTTACTGAAATTCTCATTTTTCTAATTTCAGATTTGTAATTTGATGAAAACGCGTCCAACGGTGTTTGTTTTATCCGGCTATTTCAAATCAGCGCTGTATTAAAAAGTATATTTAAGTGAATCAATTTTTCTCAAGACTGTGGAATCTGGTAGAAATTTTAAATATGGTTCGCATCATGACTGGGGAATTTAACATGCTATATCACTCAAAATTATCTTATGCTCATTTGTGGCACCAGATTTCGCATGGGAAGAAAACACACCTCTAGTGCTATCTCCAACCTCTAGTGATATCTATTATACTGAAGATTAATTCTTACCTGAATCATATGGGGGCTGGGATTGACAAATGATGACTCCTGGTTGACCAAATTATGGAACTTATCAATCAGCACAGACAGATTGTGGATTGAGAAGTCCTCGTCCAGCTCCAGTTGATCAAACTAGAAAAATTTATTTTAATTTCGACCTGATCTACATTTTTACATCCTATATCATCAAACTCAATTAATTGATGAAGTTTTTTTTATCCTATCAAGCTCAATAATAAAAAAAAAATCCCGTGATTTTCGCACGCAGGGATCTGCAAAAAAGTCTCCGAAAAAATTAAAAACCGATTCATTGATAAAACCGAAATTTTTTTAGATAGATCTAGGAAAAAACAGCAGCAGCAGATGATGAAACCAAATTGTCAGATCTGATAAACTCTTACCTGATAGACAAAATGTTTAAACTTATCCAAGTCTGCATCTTCGAATAAATTCACAATAGTCTCACTGTCCGAGATCAGTTCCTTGAAGATCTTCGCACACCGATTCGCACAAACCCTGTCAATCACTAGATCTTTGCATTCTGTAATTTCCGGCTGTAATGATATTCTGAAGTGAGACGATTGGGGAATTTGGGAGAAGTTCTTTTCAATCGACTTCAGCATTTTGACGGCCTTTCTAATTTGAGTAGGGTTCCAGTACAAAAACTGTCCCAGTTTTTGAATGTCGGCAATATCAATCTTGATAGTATCTGCTTTGAGATTTTCTGAAAAAAGCCCGTTAGAATCTAATCGACTTCAAAAATGATAATAAAATTTAGATGTTCAAACCTGATAATGATACTACATCGTCGAAGGTAGACTTCAAAACAACTTCAGGTTCACTTGGCTTTTTACCTAAATGGAAGCTGACGAATAACAACCTGTATAATGAAACATTATCTACTCCGCCGTATTTAAAACTTTGAAAACAGAAACACATTTCAACTGTAAATTTTAAATTCATTGAAATTTGATTCTTTATCGATATCCGCAATCATCATATGTCCTTGTATGAAATCGTTTATTTTAATCACCTTTCCTCCTATCAAATGACCACAACACATCTGAAAATGTTTCTACAGTAGATCTTGTTTGAGGTTCTCTGAACACATGCGCTCTTTTTTGACTTTCAGAGTGTGCTTTTAGCAAGTCAGAGATGCTGACGTCATTCTGCTCCTTGGCTATCACGCTAGTGGAGTAAGAACATTTTGTAGACTTAACATGAAAATCACCAGAAGTTGAATTGAGATTCCGAACACAACAGTATACACAGTTATCTACATATAATCCATTAGTAACGCCATTAGTGACACCGAATCTGCATTTCAGAGCAAGTGCCCAAAAAGGTCTTCTCAGCATTTCAGATCATTAGCTAACTGAAATTATTAATTCGTTCGAGCAAAAGTTAATTGTCGAGTTTTTACTAAGTATCGACCAGTAGCGGGTTAAGTAGCGAGGTTGAGGACTCCCCCGTCCTCAGGGATCCGACACCTCAGAACCCAGAGGGCTCCCTTTTCAGAGATTTAGGCACTATTTTATGACACCCATTTGGTCGACCAACCCTGCTATTTTTCTAAAGGCGACTTGAAATTTTGGAGGACTTCGGAAAATAAATTTGACCCTTGAATAAAATCCGCGCCTGGTATCGACAACAAAATATACCATGATCCATCAGGGACAACAATAACACAGTTTTTTCGTGAAATATAGCCAATGTTACCCGGAATATTTAAATATAAAATTCTGCTTTGCCTACACTTGTTCCTTCTATTTAGTAAGTCAAAGTCACGAATTATTCTTCAGATTTGAGGCTGTTTATGGAGACTAAACTGGTCCATCTATTCCTTTACGTGGCGGTCTATCAACCTGTTTCTATTTCACCTATCTTCAATCCGCGAATTGTCCCACTTCTTTTACGATTTTCATAATTCAAATTCAGAGTATATTCAGAATATATACAACAAGTATTCCAGGTCAAATAATCTAAGCTAATCCCCTCAAAATTATTAAATCTGGCTGAAACTCCTTTCCACATTCAGCGCCTGTCGATTACATCCAAGTAGTGTTGCATGTTCTCGTTTGAAGAGGAAAACTCTCTCAGCATAATTTCCAGCTCCGTGTTCTCTCTCTCTAGATCCCTCACTTCTTGAATTAGTTTCATCTGCTCCTCTTTCGCCTCTTCAAACTCCTCCATGATGTGACTTCTATTCTCAAACAAACGTCCAATTACAATTTCAACGAGGACAGCCAGTTGCTGTGCAAGTACCACAGAATGTTCCGACCAAAAAACAGAAACAAACTTACTTTTCGTCAAATTAGTGTCGTTTTTAGTGAGCGGTGTGATTCGACAACTATACGATCGCGTAGAAAACTAGTGAGTTAGACATGACCAATAAATAATGTTTTCAAAAGAAAATCCTTTTTCGAATAATAAGCGCCTACTGAACCTAAAAAACTAAATTTAGTTACAGTAAAATCAAAATTTTTATCACAATAGTCCAAAAAAAAATACATTTCCATATAACGAGCATTAATTGATCGCGATACTCGCTCGAAATTAGACAATCTAAAAAATTTCAAATCAATTTTTCTCGACACTTGAACAATTTTTTGAAAATTTTATGAGTCGTTCCAATCACGACTCAAAGAACTTTAATGTGATATATCACTCGACCATTCCGATAATTATTTGTGGTCCAAGATTTTGCGTGGAAAAAAAAACACTAACACCCGAATACAAGGTTCCTCCCCATTTTCCGTGGTCGGAACAATAACGTCTAATTACATAACGTCCAATTATAAACGTCCAGTGATAAGGTTGGGAGCCATTGTAGCATTTTAAGCTGAATCTACCCCATGTCTAATCTTCGTTGTTTACACCAAAAATAATGTTTGCGATTTATAACTTTTAGTAGGCGTTTATAAAAAACTATTTAATTACTAGTTATTTTTTCAGGAGCTCGTAGCGTTACCTTTCCAGTTTTTTCTGTAGAAAAGCAAATGATCATCCTTGAGCTAAAGTGATATAAGAAGTTCAAAAATTAGAATGAAATGACAGCTTTTCTCGTTTCGAAGGTTAAACACCCTCTTTTCAAAGTAGAATTTATTTCTGCATACATAGCCTTGTAAAATCAACTTTTACGCACTAAATCGATACTTGGGTGAGGTGGGGATAAGAGCAAAGCACCAAAATAACTTACTTGCGACTGTCTGAATTGGTCTTGTTCTTGAGCATTCTCCGTTTCTTCTTCAGTGCATCCACCACTCTCATTGAGACGTCCTCTTGGCGAAAAATATCGTTAAGTTCCTTTGTCGATAAACTGCACAGAAACTCAGTGTCCTTTTCAAGACGCATCACTATATCTGATACTTTATGTACACCAACTACAGACATTTTTACAATCCTGCTCACGTTTTAGTCACCGAAGATTGAAGCTGCTTGTTCAACCTCTCTTCAAACTGTAACCGTTTTTGCTGCTCTTCGTAAATTTCCCGATTCTTTTTGCGAATAACTTCGTAGAAATTGACTCCGTTGATGTTTACATTGATCATAAACCACTCAAGTCCAGCCCCGAAAGCGAAGAAATACGGCACCGGTAGATAGGGTCCAAGTCTCTGTCCGGGTAGATTGTCAATCACCTTGCCTACCAGGGACAAAACAAGTCGTTTCATTTAAGCATTTCGCAGAAAATCTATAAAACGCAGCAAATTTTTCAAGCATTCCACTGAGAAGTATCATATCATAAAAGGCGAAAAAATTAGCTACAATTAAACTTGGAAACCACTAAACTTGAAACGTTAGAAATTGAATGTCCGAAATTAGGAAATCAAAAATATCAAAAACTTAAATATTCCTTTAGCAAGTACTTGTACTATGCCAGGGATTAACTCTTCAGAAACACCCGACTTAGACTGACGTCCAACTTTCATTCTAAATTATAATAGTTCCGCATTATTTCTCTTAAAAGAAGGAATTTACAAGTCCGTATCAATTCATTCTTCTATTTATATACACATAGGCGAAGCTGCGCTTCGCAAACACTTGCGAGAACACGACCAAAAAGCAGCTTTATCAAGTGAATGAGAAAAAGTAGAAATAAGCCTCGAATTAGCAAAAACTCGGCTACGTGTCGGATTCGAATCTGCAACCTAGCAAATTTGAGTCTCACGCACTAACCACTCAGCCACGGATGCTTAAAACTCCAACAACTAGCCACCAAAAAAAAAACAGCTACATATGCTAATAAATTGCCAATTCGATGCAGCAAATACAAAAGGACACCATTTTGCATGTAATAAATTGGAAAGCAGGTACTACTATGATAGTGGGCCCTTGAAAATAACCAGGTCCCTTGAGAATAAGACACCTAGAGCTCTCAAATCAATTAATAATTATGATTACGCCTTTCAGAAAGATGTCGCAGTTTATTATCAAACAAATTTCATGTTTTGTTACCTCTTAAAACCTCCCCCTCAACATTTTAAGGTTGAAAATTAAAAAAAAAAACGCCAATAGTGGGTTTTGATGACAAATAAGTCAACCCAATTATATGGTTGTTGAACCGTAAAAAAAAGCAAATTTCAATATATAATCAATAGTGATTGCAATTTTCAATCTGAAAAGTTTCTGGCTGAACGTATTTTGCAAGATTTTTGAAATGAATAATTTATACACAAATTAGTTGTCAAAATTATAACATGCGAAACGCATGCGGGACCTGTCTATCATAGTTGCTTTTTCGAGGGACCACTCTATCATAGTAGTACCGGAAAGCATAAAACCAAAATATGTATAAATTATGCATTACCAAAATTTTGCGAGATACATTAGTTGGAAAATTTCTGCAATCGAGCTTTTTATCATTGTACTGCTGTTTGCAACAAATAAATTTGTCGGTTCATTTCATGAATTAAAATTGCATCAGCTGTATTAGCTGTTTACTAATCAAATGTCAAAGCACATATGATAATATAAAATTACTTTAACCTACCGATTCAAAGTGCCACCAAAATTAGCACGTTCATTTGCGATTTAGGTTGGGAAAAAGAAAATTCGTAGTACTAAGAACGAATTTACTAGCCCGTTTCAGCTAAATCGCTAATACTTTAGTTGTGTCACTTGAAAAAAGACACCGTATCAACCCAGCGTTTATACAGGAGCAAGGATTTTTCTGAAAAATAAGAAGTGATCACAGTCCAAAAACTTGTGGAAAAGATAATTGTCAAATTTGGATGACTTGTCATCAAAAAAAAGAAGATAACAAAACATCGTTCGCCCACTCTTATAACCGAATAATATAAGATGTATCAACCAACATGTTTACACAGAGACTAGGCTGCCTCTTCACAAAAAAAAATGCAAAATGAGCTTTAAAATAAGAAAATATTAAGCAAATCATTAAGCTCGGAAAAGTAAAAAGAATTTGTCTACGGGATGCCTACAGCAAAAAGAGTTTGACTATAGGATACGCACCTTAAAGCCATTAACGTATTTTCGCAAAATTTGCATTTGCCTTATTAGAAAGCGTTATCTGCCATCCTTTTAGCAAATGAATATGAATTGAACTTGAGAAACGAAAAGCCGAACAACAAAAATTCCGCTTGAAATTTTTTTAAAACTTTTTCTTCAAAAACAAAAACACAAGACCTATAGAAATGATGAATCCGGTCGTTTATCAACAGCTAATCATGGCATGTTCCATGCGTGACATCGAACATGCCATGATTAACTGTTAATAAACGACGGGATGCATCACTTCTATAGGTCTCGTGTTTTTGTTTAAGAGAAAAAGTTTTTAAAAAATTCGAGCTGAAATTTGTTTTTTGTTGTTGTTCGGCTGGTTATTACTTTCTTTCAACAAACAAATCTTTTAGCAATTTAACAATTAAGCACCAAAATTGCAATTTTCAATCTGATTGCAAGTTTTAATCTGAACAGTTTCTGGCTGAACATATTTTGCAAGATTTTTGAAAGAATAATCTATAAACAAATTAGTTGTCAAAATTATAACATGCGAAATGCATGCGGGACCTGTCTATCGTGGTTGATTTTTCAATGGACCACTCTATCATAGTAGTACGGGAAAGCATAAAGCCAAAATATGTATAAATTATGCATTTCCAAAATTTTGCGAGATACATTAGTTGGAAAATTTCTGCAATCGAGCTTTTTATCATTGTACTGCTGTTTGCAACAAATAAATTTGTCAGTTCATTTCATGAATTAAAAATGCATCAGCTGTATTAGCTGTTTACTAATCAAATGTCAAAGCACATATGATAATATAAAATTACTTTAACCTACCGATTCAAAGTGCCACCAAAATTAGCACGTTCATTTGCGATTTAGGTTGGGAAAAAAAAAATCGTAGTACTAAGAACGAATTTACAAGCCCAGTTCAGCTAAATCGCTAGTACTTTAGTTGTGTCACTTGAAAAAAGACACCGTATCAACGCAGCGTTTATACAGGAGCAAGGATTTTTCTGAAAAATAAGAAGTGATCACAGTCCAAAAACTTGTGGAAAAGATAATTGTCAAATTTGGATGACTTGTCATAAAAAAAAAGAAGATAACAAAACAGCGTTCGCCCACTCTTATAACCGAATAATATAAGATGTATCAACCAACATGTTTACACAGAGACTAGGCTGCCTCTTCACAAAAAAAATGCAAAATGAGCTTTAAAATAAGAAAATATTAAACAAATCATTAAGCTCGGAAAAGTAAAAAGAATTTGTCTACGGTATGCCTACAGCAAAAAGAGTTTGACTATAGGATACGCACCCTTAAGCCATTAACGTATTTTCCCAAAATTTGCATTTGCCTTATTAGAAAGCGTTATCTGCCATCCTTTTAGCAAATGAATATGAATTGAACTTGAGAAACGAAAAGCCGAACAACAAAAATTCAGCTTGAAATTTGTTTAAAACGTTTTCTTCAAAAACAAAAACACAAGACCTATAGAAATGATGAATCCGGTCGTTTATCAACAGCTAATCATGGCATGTTCCATGCGTGACATCGAACATGCCATGATTAGCTGTTAATAAACGACGGGATGCATCACTTCTATAGGTCTCGTGTTTTTGTTTAAGAGAAAAAGTTTTTAAAAAATTCGAGCTGAAATTTGTTTTTTGTTGTTGTTCGGCTGGTTATTACTTTCTTTCAACAAACAAATCTTTTAGCAAATTAACAATTAAGCACCAAAATTGCAATTTTCAATCTGATTGCAAGTTTCAATCTGAACAGTTTCTGGCTGAACATATTTTGCAAGATTTTTGAAAGAATAATTTATAAACAAATTAGTTGTCAAAATTATAACATGCGAAATGCATGCGGGACCTGTCTATCGTAGTTGCTTTTTCAATGGACCACTCTATCATAGTAGTACCGGAAAGCAAAAAGCCAAAATATGTATAAATTATGCATTTCAAAAATTTTGCGAGATACATTAGTTGGAAAATTTCTGCAATCGAGCTTTTTATCATTGTACTGCTGTTTGCAACAAATAACTTTGTCGGTTCATTTCATAAATTAAAAATGCATCAGCTGTGTTAGCTGTTTACTAATCAAATACCGAAGCACATATGATAATATAGTATTACCTTAACCTACCGATTCAAAGTGCCACCAAAATTAGCACGTTCATTTGCGATTTAGGTTGGGAAAAAGAAAGTTCGTAGTATTAAGAACGAATTTACCAGCCCGTTTCAACTAAATCGCTATTATTTTAGTTCTGTCACTTGAAAAAAGACACCGTATCAACCCAGCGTTTACACAGGAGCAAGGATTTTTCTTTAAAAAAAGAGGTGATCACAGTCCAAAAACTTGTGGAAAAGATAATTGTCAAATTTGGATGACTTGTCATCAAAAAAGAAGATAACAAAACAGCGTTCGCCCACTCTTATAACCGAATAAAATAAGATGTATCAACCAACATGTGAACACAGAGACTAAGCTGCCTCTTCACAAAAAAAATGCAAAATGAGCTTTAAAATAAGAAATTATAAACAAATCATTAAGCTCGGAAAAGTAAAAAGAATTTGTCTACGGGATGCCTACAGCAAAAAGAGTTTGACTATAGGATACGCACCTTAAAACCATTAACGTGTTTTCGCAAAATTTGCATTTGCCTTATTAGAAAGCGTTATCTGCCATCTTTTTAGCATATGAATATGAATTGAACTTGAGAAACGAAAAGCCGAACAACAAAAATTCAGCTTGAAATTTTTTAAAAACTTTTTCTTCAAAAACAAAAAACACAAGACCTAAAGAAATGATGAATCCGGTCGTTTTTCAACAGCTAATCATGGCATGTTCCATGCGTGACATCGAACATGCCATGATTAGCTGTTAATAAACGATGCGATGCATCACTTCTATAGGTCTCGTGTTTTTGTTTAAAAGAAAAAGTTTTTAAAAAATTCGAGCTGAAATTTGTTTTTTTGTTGTTGTTCGGCTGGTTATTACTTTCTTTCAACAAACTTATCTTTTAGCAATTTAACAATTGAGCACAAAGAACACATAATTGTCGGATTTTTCAATCTGCAGTATGCAAAGCTGAGAATGCTTGAGCTTTACCACAATTTTTTCGACAAGCTTTGAGATGTAATTAAGTGCGAGGAATTAGAAATGGACACGGATTCACTGTATTTAGCTCTTGCTGAGGAAAAATTGTATGATTTTATTCGTCCGGAGAAAAAAGGTGACAGGGAAAAATTAAGAGAAAATGATTCCAGAGATTCATTTAGAGCATAGTCAAAAACAAACTTTTTTCCACGAATAAGTTCTAGCGTTCACAATAAACACGATTGACGAGAGCCTGGACCATTTAAAGAAGAATTTAGGTATACGGAGATGCTATGTTTATGTAGCAAGACCTATTGTTGCTATGACAACAAATCGGACAAGATGAAACTTAGCAATAAAGGATTGAATCAAGAATTCTAGAGGAATCCGACGATGGGCCTATGGAAAATACAGGAAAATACACGACGGAGCAATCAACTTGACTTCAACCAACTGAGGATTTAGAACCATTAATCATTTGGTTGCTACATACGAGTAAACAAAGAAAGGATTGAGTTACTTTTACCCAAAAAAACAAGTTCAGGACGACGGAACACACACAAAACCTTTGAACTTAAATAACTGATAGTGTAATAGCATTCAATTCAGCACTGGTTAACTGACTGTAAAATTGTGGTAACATGATTATACGAAGCAGTGATTTATAAACTTCATCTTTTGAATTTAACTTTTTTTTCTCAAAAACTTGATTTTTTTCTCGAAGTTTCGCTAGGTTTTAGTATAGCTTTAGATAGTTTTCTCATAGTTTCAAACATATAAAACAATAATCAAAACTAAAAAAATGTAGGAGTTAGCTTAGAAACGCATGTATCGGCCAAATCGATCTCCAAAAAAATCGGGCGCCAAAAATTTTTTGAAACTTACCATCTCAAACCTCGTATCATGGTAAAACTGATCTTAATACAATGAATGTCTATTACTATTATATAGAGAAATCTATAAACTATCTTAAAACATGGTAAGATCGGGCGACGAGAAAATTTTCTGAAACTTACTATCACACTGAAACCTTACCATTTGCTATCTTAATACATTAGCAAACCTATTCCCTATCGTAATACATAGGAAACCTATTCTTTATCTTAATACATAGCTTGAGACCGGATGCTCTATTCCCTTTTTTAAAGCATGGGATCAGCTCACTCTTCTACTACTACTGTTTATGCAGGGAAGATTTTTGCACTGTTTTGGCTTTTCTTAAGTTCATAACAATTATATACAGAAATGAGGGCGTAGCTGCTTCTGCAGAAAAGATTTCCACAAGTTTTTCTCTCGTATGAACCCGTGGCAGCGAAGCAAATTACAAAGGGAAGATTCCCAACAATTTTTTTAATTTATTAGGTCTAAATCTTAAGTTCGACAGGTAGTTTTCGAGAAAGTGAAAGTTTTCAAAATTTCAAAAACGGCAAAAACTCAGAAATTGTTTTTTTTTCTCCAGGAGTTACCTTGTCTTTTCCTCAATCATAACAGTTTTTATTTCAAAAATTGAGGAATGACAGCTTCAGCACGACAAATTCTCACAAACTGTTCCTTCGATTGAACTCTCTATCTCAGATTTGGTATGGTAATTTTTGAAAAAGTCAACAAACTTTCCTTTCCAATAAACGGTTAGGAAACTTATAAAATTCGACTTTTCTCAAGGCCAACCTCTTTCTTCAAATGAGGGTGTACCACCTTATGCAGTGACGAAGAGTACAACCTGATATTTCGAGTGAACCATTAATCTAAGAATTGCCAGGGTAGTTTTCAAGAAAACTCACAAAATTTCAAAGACCGGTAAAAAAATTGATTTTTCCGCAGGCCAAATTTTTCAAGAAGCAGAGCCACTTATGCAGCGGAGCTTCATACAAACCGCTCCTTTGATTGAACCTAAAATCTCAGGTTTGGAAGGGCAATTTTCGAGTATAGTCAAAACGTTTCAAAAAACGGTCGAAAAATCAAAATTTTGTTTTTTTCCGAGGGTCATAACCATTTGCACAATAAATTAATTAAGCAAGGGAGCTTCCCACAACACGTTTTTTTGATTGAACCAAAATTTTCAAATTTGGGAGGCTAGTTTTTGATACAAGTCAAAGTTTCAAAAAACAGTAAAAAAAAAAGACTTTTCCGATGATCAGAACTTTTTGGGAATCAAAAATTGAACGTCGCCGCTCATGCAGATTTTCTCACTACCATTGCATTTGATTGAAACCATCAGATTGGGAGAGTACTTCTCGAGAAATGGAAAAATTCAAAAAAAAGGTCAAATATTCCCCACACAATTTTTCGAAGTCTGTAAAAATTGGAGTATGGTAAAAGAGATTCCGCATGCAGACAGGGAAGTGGACGGTCTTTTCATGATTTAAGACATGAGGCGTTATTCATTGCTCTCTAATACTAATAATAAAATGAAAATTTGAAAAAGTTAAAACGAAAATTTTTGAACATGGCCGAAACTTTCTTGGAATTCAATTACCGGAATAACCACTGGAATGAATCAAAATGACTTTTAATTACACTTGAAACTTGCTGTATAATTGATTGATTTATATTATGGCGAATCAAAGGAATTGAACGAATTTCAAAGTTAAAAAATAGATGGCCATAAAACCTTTACAGCTTTCGTAAAATCTTTCGTGACTTTTACACTTTTGTTGTTCGATAATGGAGTTTGCCTTCCTTTTAACAACTTATAGTGAGCATACATTTGAATGAATCAAGAAATCTTACCATAACGGAAAAAAGTATATGTATTTAAACATTTTTGAGTTAACCTATTACTATCCTGAAAATTGGTAGTGTTAGATTGAAAAGTGCTTCAGATAAACAGTAAATTATAGACGAAAAGGATAATTTACTTATTATTAATCTCAATCATAAACATAACAGATTAAATACAGTTTTAGAAACAAAAAATGTATTGTCGCGACAACGTAATTTGTAAATTTGATAAGTTTTTTTAGATTTCACGACAGCTATCTATCGTCACATAAAGCAATAGCAATGACCTGTCATAATTTTGGAGAATTTTAATAATTCGCTTTTCGTTGAATTCCTTTGATTCGCCATAATATAATTCAATCCATTATACATAATGTCTGTTTATTTTTTGGTGACAATATATATTGATACAATATGAAACATAAGTCTTTTTCTATTGCCACCAAAAAATAAACAGACATTATGTATAATGGATTGAATTATATTATGGCGAATCAAAGGAATTCAACCAAACGCAAATCATTAAAATTCTCCAAATTCCGACAGGTCCTTGCTATTGCTTTCAAATTGACAATAGTTCCGCAACTAAGATTTGAGGAAAGCAGTCTCTCTTGGAACAGATGCAAATATGCACTTGTTCCATTAGGATGTAAGACAACCTTATATTAAAAAGAAATATATAAGTCAGAACCATTTTAATAACTTAAGAGAATACAGCTAACATTCCATTGCAGTTTTACTGAACTTTAACCAGCTCAGAATTCATACCGACTCAACTGTAAGTCACATATCCGAGGCTTTCTTTCAGAACCTTCAGTGCTACTTTTTCCTTCGCTTCCTTTTTGCTTGCTCCGAACTCAACTCCCTCGTAGTTGTCCAGCACTATCTTCGCCTGGAAAGTTCCAGAAGCCTCGTCTGGAGAAACCGAATAGCATTCCGATGGCTTCTTTTCCTGGCCAGCGAGGATGATGTTCAAGTACATAGTAGGCGCCACGTTAAACGGGATAATTTTCTCCCCTTGAAGAACCCGTTTCAGAAAATCAACAGCAAGTGTAACTGCGTGCATATTTGCCGCATGTTTTGATTCTCCTTTTCCGTAGAAATTCGCAGCTCCCAGTACACTTGGGGTCCTGATCGCACAGAGAGAAAACTGTATATTCGGGAATGGTGACACACACTTTTTCATAGAGTACGTGAAATCATCTTTGTTACTTTCTTTCAGCGCTCTCAGTTCTTCAACCGCCGACTCTCGAGGTTCTACAGTGGGTTGATTGTTTATGAACTCATTGAACTTGTCAATGAAATCCGCCTTTTCAGCAGGCGTCTTGGCCTCTTCTTTTACTGCTTGAGGCACTCCAAGCCTACTATGCACTGATACTTGCGCAAGCTTCGCCTTCAAACTGTCGTTTTCAAGCCTCAACATGTGGTTTTCATTCAGCAGAAACCTCACATCTTCAATTGAACAAGTCTGAGCGGCGATAGGCGCACTATACAATTGTTGTCTTGGCTGAGGCGCGGTAGGAATCCGCTGATAACTGTCCATAGTAAGCTGTCGCTGGTGCAATGGTCCTCTCATAGGCGCAGATAGTCCCATTGCATTTCGTTGCATCCTGTTATCAACATTAGGCCCTATTCGCTGATGTACACCTAAATTTCCCGAGAACTGTTGACCTCCGTTTCCAATGTTTTGATTGAAATGATGTTCTCTGATGCTGAAGGAAGCTTCGTTACAGACGCTAGGATCAAAATCATCCGAGAAAATAGTACTATCGCAGTCAAAAGAGTTTTGAGCCGCAGGGATGTTTGATTCCATTTTAACCGCCGATCCAGGTCCCATTTTGAACTTCTTGTTTTGAACATTGCCTGAAACAAGAAAATACGATATCACAAAATCACGAAGTCAATAAAACAACCAACTCAAAAAGCCCAGTGTATGTAGCTACCACGCAGTGTATGTAGCTACCACGCTTTTAATGTAGCTACCACGCTACCACCCAGTGTATGTGGCTACCACGCTTTTAAATCCGACTATCTGGTTCATTGGGGTAACTTTCTGCTTTAAGCAAAAGCAAGTTGTGGTGCGGGATTCGTTTTTAGAAATTTCTGTATGTGCGAAAACAGTACGAAAAGTTTAATCGTTTTAAGATATTAGCTTCCCATCATGCTTGATATTTCCAAAGACCCAAACAGTACAATTAAAGCAAAAATTTTCGCCAAAATCCTGTGCAAAAAAAGTAAACCGAAGGAACTAAGATCACCAATTGCTATAAGAATAAAAATAGTCGGATTCACACTAACAAAGACTAAGAAACAGCCAACCGCTATTTATCGAATTGCCAATATAATGACCCAAAAATTAATGGAGTTTGAAAATCGAACACAACAACAGGCTTCGAGGATCTAAGTCGACTGCCCAGAACAACAGTGCAGCTGAAGCTTATAGAACCGAGCCACTTATAAAACGAAGACACATGTTATAAAATTTCCAATACTATGCAGCTTAATGAACACTTTTAATGCAAGTAAGATTGAAAAAACGTTGGCTCCTGATAAAACACAAGGCTCGTACTATTTTTACAGGTTTACAGTGTCTCGCAAAACTGTAACACTGGTTCAAAAGTTTAATTTCAGCCCTCACACAGTCAAAACCATTAAAAATTCGGCGCAGGCATTTTGGTTTCAAACGACCAAATTACACACCTCCAGTCATTGATAGCCCAATGACGATAGCCAAGGAACGCCAAAATCGATCGTTCGGATCTGATAGGTATCAGTAGGTGTGGAAGAAGTCTCATGCACCCGTTCGCTATCAGCAAGTGCAAAGGACACTGAAACTTGGAGGCGAAAACTTGATGCTCAGGAAATGCATGACTTCCTATGCAATTTGGGATCGATGTCGGGGAAGTAACTTGGGCTATTTCTTTTTGATCAGAGACTTCATCATCCCCGAGAACCCCAAAGCAAACTTCAAACTTGGTAAAACTTTGGCCGAAAAGGTAGTTCAAATTCTGGACTGGTCGGCACAGTCACCAGATCTTAATCCGGTCGATCATTTGTGGCATCACCTCAAGCGTAGACTAGAGACATATCCTGATGCCCCCAGAAGCAGAAACGAGCTTTGGGAACAGTTTCAGGAGGAATGAATTGGCATTCCTCTACAAACATGCCTAGACCTCATTGACAGCATGTCTGTATGAATTGGAGCAATTACTGCAGCGCGAGGGAATAAACCAAATGCTTAAAATTGTATAATGGCTTTTCTGTTTGCTTCAAGTCGAAAAATATTGAATTTTCTTCCTAGTATTTTCAATGAAACCAGCAACAAAACTGTAACAGTATTGAACAAATTTGAAACCTTCGTGAAAAAAACGGGTAGGAACGCTAGGAAGCTGAATTTATGATCGATGCATTGGTAAATGCCTGATAATAAAGCATGCAAAAATAATGAGTTTAATTGATCAGACTGTGTGAGGGCTGAAAATAAAATTTTGGAACATTGTTACAGTTTTGTGTGAGAAACTGTATGGTCAGAACAGCAATTGAAATTAAAGCAAAACTTAGCCCAATATTTTACAACTCCTTTCATTATGTACAAAATCAAATTGCACAAACAGCAAACTGTCTTAAAAACGGTGTTTTCCAAACATCTGCCTTCATGTAGTCTTTGCAAACAACAGACAAAAAAAACACTAACGTGGTTCATCTTGGATTAATTAGAACACAAACAATTTTTTCAGAACTCTGATTTTAGACACCACTATCAAGTAGCCAGAAGACTCGAACAAAAACCAGATTACGTATCAGACTCGTATGAGGTTGCGTATTCCAACGACTAGGAGAAAATGACTAACTAACTCAATAATGTTACAGAGTAAATATTGCTCGACTGGTACAACCCAATTAAGGCACAACTTTATTTAAGACAGGAAACAAGAATTTAGAGACGATTAAACAACAACCACAACAGCAACAAATACACCTAACAATTCAAACACAAACAACAACTAATATGCAACAATTAACGAACTATATACATCCAAAATATTCCAAAAACCAACACGCCTGAAGGCGACAAAAACAAAATTACACAATTTGACAGATATTTAAATCCCAGAAAATAACTCCGGAAAAGCAATCACCAATTTTTATCACACAAACATTAGGAAAATTACAGTAATCAATTTCAAAGTAAACAAGGATAGCCGGTTGCTGCGGAAGTAGCACAGAATGCTCTGGTCATATTCATAGAAAAAATAGGAAAAAACAAAAAACTTTTTTTTTAATTGTCTTCAATTTTCGTTGAATTGTCGTTTTTAGTGAGTGGTGTGATTTCAGAACTATACAATCGCGAAGAGAATTAGTGAAAAAGACATGATCGACAAAATTGATTTCAAAAAATGAATACAACACAATGAAAAAAAAAATTGTTTATTTTTTGTAAAATGGTTTTAATTTTTTTTGAACATCTTTATTGTCTGAAAAAATAAGCGCTGAAAAACATCCAAAACAAAAAAATCAATAACGCTGGCTAATCGCGAGCACAATCATCGCATACCAGTTCATATTAATGAACAGAGCTTTAAAAAAAATCAAATTTTTTTAAATAAAAAAATTAACACAAATATTACGCAGATCTTGCAATTCAATAACCGCCATTAAAGGGACTTAGAAAATGGCAAACTGAGCCTTCAAAAAAGTCCGTGATATGGGGAAATAAGAAGATGAAAACAAAACGCGAAAAAAAAATTCGTTAAAACAGGTCCCGGCCGGATTCGGATTTCAAAGAAAAAAACAATTCTATTTAAGACAGGAGACAAGAATTTAGAGACGATTAAACAACAACCACAACAGCAACGAATACACCTAACAACTCAAACACAAACAACAACTAATATGCAACAATTAACAAACTATACACATCCAAAATAGTCCAAAAACCAACACGCCTGAAGGCGACAAAAACAAAATTACACAATTTGACAGATATTTAAATCCCAGAAAATAACTCCGGAAAAGCAATCACCAATTTTTATCACACAAACATTAGAAAAATTACAGTAATCAATTTCAAAGTAAACAAGGATAGCCGGTTGCTGCGGAAGTAGCACAGAATGCTCTGGTCATATTCATAGAAAAAATAGGAAAAAACAAAAAACTTTTTTTTTAATTGTCTTCAATTTTCGTTGAATTGTCGTTTTTAGTGAGTGGTGTGATTTCAGAACTATACAATCGCGAAGAGAATTAGTGAATAAGGCATGATCGACAAAATTGATTTCAAAAAATGAATACAACACAATGAAAAAAAAAATTGTTTATTTTTTGTAAAATGGTTTTAATTTTTTTTGAACATCTTTATTGTCTGAAAAAATAAGCGCTGAAAAACATCCAAAACAAAAAAATCAATAACGCTGGCTAATCGCGAGCACAATCATCGCATACCAGTTCATATTAATGAACAGAGCTTTAAAAAAAATCAAATTTTTTTAAATAAAAAAATTAACACAAATATTACGCAGATCTTGCAATTCAATAACCGCCATTAAAGGGACTTAGAAAATGGCAAACTGAGCCTTCAAAAAAGTCCGTGATATGGGGAAATAAGAAGATGAAAACAAAACGCGAAAAAAAAATTCGTTAAAACAGGTCCCGGCCGGATTCGGATTTCAAAGAAAAAAACAATTCTATTTAAGACAGGAGACAAGAATTTAGAGACGATTAAACAACAACCACAACAGCAACGAATACACCTAACAACTCAAACACAAACAACAACTAATATGCAACAATTAACAAACTATACACATCCAAAATAGTCCAAAAACCAACACGCCTGAAGGCGACAAAAACAAAATTACACAATTCGACAGATATTTAAATCCCAGAAAATAACTCCGGAAAAGCAATCACCAATTTTTATCACACAAACATTAGAAAAATTACAGTAATCAATTTCAAAGTAAACAAGGATAGCCGGTTGCTGCGGAAGTAGCACAGAATGCTCTGGTCATATTCATAGAAAAAATAGGAAAAAACAAAAAACTTTTTTTTTAATTGTCTTCAATTTTCGTTGAATTGTCGTTTTTAGTGAGTGGTGTGATTTCAGAACTATACAATCGCGAAGAGAATTAGTGAATAAGGCATGATCGACAAAATTGATTTCAAAAAATGAATACTACACAAAATAAAAAAAAAATTTGTTTATTTTTTGTAAAATGGTTTTAATTTTTTTGAACATCTTTATTGTCTGAAAAAATCAGCGCTGAAAAACATCCAAAACAAAAAAATTAATAACGCTGGCTAATCGCGAGCACAATCATCGCATGCGTAAAATACCAATGCATATTAATGAACAGAGCTTAAAAAAAAACAAATTTTTTTAAATAAAAAAATTAACACAAATATTGCGCAGATCTTGCAATTCAATAACCGCCATTAAAGGGACTTAGAGAAAATGGCAAACTGAGCCTTCAAAAAAGTCCGTGATATGGGGAAATAAGCAGATGAAAACAAAACGCAAAAAAAAAATTTCGTTAAAAAAACAGGTCCCGGCCGGATTCGGATTTCAAAGAAAAAAACAATTCATCGCAAAAAGTCAGCTGTTCTGCAGCTAGCTCTTTTTACACATCTAAGACAAACTCGATCAACAAAAACTTACCCGAATCAGTGTCTTTTATATGGATTCAGTGATGAACGCTAAAAGAATAGCATCAGAGATTGAAAAATATAGTTTTGCTTGAAAAGAACGGAACCAGGAGACCTTTCTGTCAACCCAAAACTGTTAATCAAACAAACTTAGCGTCATTATGTTATTTTAGCTATCGCTGAAATAGATTGTGTCGCGAATTCGGTTTTAAAAAAATCAAAAAATGTCGAGAAAATTAGATCTACCAAAAATTTCATGTGTCGCGAATTCGGTTGAAAAATTTCAAAAAATGTCGAGAAAAATTAGATCTACCAAAATTTTCATCAAAAAAATATGATAAATAAGAATATTAAAAATTATATTTACACAAAAACAAATCGGTATTAAAGCCGACCATTTTTGAGCATACACACGTTGAGCCAAACAAAATGCTTTCATAAAAAAAATTCAATACATTAAAGTAACCCCTCAAAATACTCACACGCGAAGAAAAATTGTTTCGCTTATCCAACCATGCAAATCGATGCCACTAAGCCAATTAGGAGCAAGCCAAATAATCATTTGATCCCAATTCACAAAAACCAAGAAAAAAAAATAAACTGAGCCGGAGTTGGTAAATTTATAACCAACATAGAAACCAACTATCGTGTAACGCACCTCCGCTGCTTTAAAGTTTCGACAACTTATAAGAAACAACATATATTGGAAAGAGGATCTGCATCCATTGAGTGAATTCTGATAGCACCCAATAACAGGGTTGGTTATCTCAAATTTTGTAAAGTTTTCTATAGCTAAGTTCTTTGACCAATTTCAAAGTTCTTTGACCAATTTCAAAAAGACATAGAAAACGTCACATCTCGGGAACTGAAAACATTCGGAGCAGTCACACTTGGACGCAAAATTTAGAACTCCAGGGAGTACACTCGCAGTACCCAATTACAAGATTGTGAATTTAAAATCTGTTTTTTTTAAATCTAAGTTTTCTGGAAAATGCAAAAAAAAATTATAAAAAATGTCATATAGCGATAACTACAAGAATTTGATCAGCCACATTTGAAGTCAGGATTCCCAACCCCTGAGAGTACCCTGAAAGCACCCATTTACAGGATTGCAAATATCGACTTTGAAAAATCGTCGTATCTCGTGAACTAAATAGATTTAGGTGCTCATAATTGGAGGCCAATTTCCACCTCCAGGGGTAACCCTGACAGCATCCCATTATTGGGTTGCTAATTTTAAACTCGGTCAAGAAACATAATTCAAACTGGAAAATCGAAAAAAAAATTCTTAACCATTGCAATATACGATGTAGCTTAAACGTGAAAAAATAGTTTCATTAAATATGCATAAATAATACGTTGAAAAAACTTAAACGAGGTGAGAAAATCAAGCTTGCATTTAAATACATAATCAAAAATGAATAGAACGGGTATTTGAAAAACAAACATACTACATTGAAAATTTGAGAAAATGACTACGTTCAAAAGTTTTTACGAGGATTTTTGTTCAAAAGTTTTTACGAGGAAAAGTCTACGTTCCGAAACAATAACGCTCGCTAATCGCGAGCACAATCATCGCATGCGTACAAAAAACAGCCCACATTAATTAACAGAGCAAAGAAATCAAAATTTTTCAAAATAAAAACAAAAGTTCCGCAAAATCTTGTAACTCAATTATCTCCCCACTAAGGAGGCTTTAGAAATGGCAAACTCAACTTTCAAAAAAGTCCGTGCTATGGGAACTAAGCCGTCAAAAATAACCAGACGGACAATAGTCCGAAAATTTTTTATTTGAAAAAAAAGGAACAGGTCCAAACCGGATTCGAATTTCAAGCCTTTGCCATCTGAAGCAGGTATGTTAGCTCTACGCCAGATGCGCTGGGCGTTTGATTCATTTTTAATTTAATATGAAGCAAGATAATACACTTGAGAAATCTTGTAAACCAAGCTGTTTACGGGGAAAAAGTCCAGTACCCGGTTACAATGCCATTGCTTATGGCAAGGGTAAAGAAAAAATATACCAGGTTAAAACTCTTTGATTTTCAAGAACAATTTATGATTGAAATTTTTTATGATAAAATTAACCCACAGGCAAATTTTTAATTCCGCTGGCAAATCTAAAAATTGAAATCCACTTTCGAAACTAGAAGTAGTTCACTTTTTTCGCTCCACTACCGCTTTCGTACATGGAGAGGAGAACTTACTTAACTTTTACCAGATGAATTTGAATTGAAGTCAGAAAGTGCACATATAACAATGAGTGGATTCATTAAAGCATTTCTATGTATGAATGCACTTCTGTAGTTATTAGAGCTTTGTAAGACTTTCTCCTTAAAATAAAACAAACAAAAAATTATCCAGAACTATTTAAAGGAAAATCTCCTCGTTATCTACATTTATCAACAACAACCAGTCTGAATAGCATGTGATGCGAAGCTCACCTTCGCCTCTTAGTTAAAATTTTTTTATTGGTACCCGTCCATAATCACGACTGAAAAAATTTTAGTATGATACCCTTAAATTACTTGCTTAGGAGTACGTGTGTGGAAAACATCTCGCCGAACAATAGTTCAAAATTACGAAAAGAGTAATACCGCTTTGCATGGCGTATGTTTGAAGCAGCTCTGTAGCATCAAGACTGAACTTCTCACGCAGTATAACCACCGCCATTTTCTGCTTAGCCTCTTTCTTGTTGCCACCACTGCCCTTGTATGTTATACCGTTCAAGGTGAGAGACGCCTCGAATTGCGGCTAAAATCCATTGAAAAAATCAGTCTTTTTTATGTTAGTCTACGTCAATTTCAATTACTTGTGCACAAATTACTTCTAGCTTTGTCGAAATATCGTTAAACTGAATGTCTAATTTGCCTCCTTTGGGTAAATAAGCCGCAAGTGCTGACATAGGATCATTGAAAACAGGCGTTTTTTGAACAGTTTTCTGTGGGCGCTTTCGTGGAATGTTTTCCACGCCTGCCTGATCCGACAATCCACTTGCCATGTACATTTGCTGCTTTCTGAAATCCAGAAAATTGAAACAAATCAAAAACTAACCAGGATAGCTGGTTACAGTGCAAGTAGCATAGTTGTGACATTCTGCTATTCTGCTATCTACTAGTTGTGACATAGCTATTAATGTAACATTCGCCCGGAAGGTACATATCGACGGAAGACAAAACTAAGTCTTAAGACGACTGGCTAACGTCTAAACAGAGCTTTGCATGCTTTTCACCGTCTCTACCAAGCCAGTACTTTTCGGTGGTCTTTCTAACATCGGGTCGACAAAAACGTTACTGCTTTCGGCTTCGGTCAAAACACTCAAATTAACTAGATTACATGCAGAAACAGTGAGCTCATGGCTGGTCTCAGTATCCCCAGACCACGAGGTCACTCCTAAAAACAGGGCTACTACTTATTATATTACTATTGTTTTTGTTCAGTAGATAAAAATCATCATCTCCATCGACGATGGATCAACCCTTTTCCCCAACTCCTAGCTTCTCATCCTTATCAAAATGAATCTAGATATCAATTAAATTCAAGTCAGGACATGACAGGAAGCTAAAAGTTTATGTAACAGGATAAAAGTTTCAGTTCCTTTACCCTTTCGGATTGATGAATCCGCTGGATCAAGCTCGTTAATCCTGATTTCCTCTTAATCCGGAAGGCCGTCTTTCACCCTTCACCGTTGTTCGCAACGGCCTTGCAACTATTGTAGCAGCACAATAGTTGCAACTCGGAGTGTTCTTCTGTTACTCTGTAACTCGTTGTCGTTTTCCGATCTCAATTTCGTAGTTGTTGTTAGCGCAGCTAATGTTGTTCTGTTTTTCTTTCTTGTTTTAGCCAAAATGGCCGTTTCTGACGTTTCTCAGAAATATGACGTCATGCAACTCGATGCAACTTAGCCTAATTGTTGTGATAAACTTATTAAATAGTTTCCGAGGTCGAATGTCACAAACGTCTCAAGACCCCTCTGGATTGTGAACTCAGACGTCCCAGCAAGATGGCGAGAAAACTTCGGTCTGCCAGCAGCAGCGAAGCGACGCGAGATCCACACGCAGGACCGCTCACCCAGAAATCAGAAGACACAGCACCATGCGGTAATGCGGATTGCCCACACAGCGGTATCGTGAGCTCGAGTGGCGTCCAATGCGACCAGTGTAACAACTGGTACCACATGAGCTGTGCCAAAACTACAAAGAAAGCACTTGCAGCAATGCCTAGAAACTCTATATTTTACTGTCCTTACTGTGTCACCCCCTCGGTGAACGGATCAACTGGGTTATCTCAACTACTAAGTGATCTCCGGTTGGATCCGGTGGAAACTACTCACGAGGATCTTAAGGTGCTGCATGGGACAATCAGTTATACCTCACTCCATCAAGCCTATTCGAGGATTGTCACCTGGGTACCTAACCTGTTCACCCTTCCACAGGGAAAAGTAGGGAGTCAGTTCCTGGAGGAGTTCATCCGCATTCTGAAAAACTTGACTTCAGACCCAAAGAACGCTCACTCCGCCTCCTTAGCTTTTCACTTGTTCCCCGCGCTTATGTTACAGAAACCATCTGCTCGCAGCAAAGTGAAAGAGCACAACAACTGTACTAAAGCCCGTTTAGAGCACTGGTCGAACGGCAATCTAGACGAAATTGTCTCTGAATGCCTGCTAATCCAGGATAAGTTTACAAGCAAGCGCCGAAAGGGAGTCGTCAACCTGTCGAAAACGTACAGTGACCTTATCATGCGGGGTAAACTCACCCAAGCCACCCAACTCCTCGAAGGCGAAGAGTCTGGAGGACCTCTGCCCGTAGACGATGACCTCATTGCTCAACTGGAGAGAAAACATCCGGTCGCCGAGCCTTCGCATGCTGATGCCTTGCTCAAGGGACCCGTTAAACCTACTCCTGCATCGATATATTACAACATTACAGGCGCGCTTATCCGCAAATGCGCACTCAACAGCACTGGAGGCGCGGGACCAAGCGGCCTAAGTTCAACAGGCGCCAAACGTATTCTTTGCTCCGATAGTTTTGGTAAATTAACCGACGACGTCTGCCACGCTCTCGCTGATCTTACCAGAATTCTTGCCACAGAGCAACTACCCGCTTCAGTGATGCAGCCCATAGCAAACTGCCGCATGGTTGGCCTGGACAAATCACCTGGCGTCCGCCCTATTGGAATCGGAGAAATTTTTAGAAGAATAATCACGTCCGCTCTTATCCATTGCTTTCAAGATGAAGTTGGGGAGATTGTTGGCTCCCTCCAAACTTGCGCTGGTATTAGCGCCGGGATTGAATCTGCTTTCCGATCCATGCAGAAGACCTTCAACGCCGACGAGTGCCAAGCAGCCCTGTTCATTGACGCAGAAAACGCGTTCAATAGACTGAACCGCGGTACGGCTCTCCATAACATTGAAATTCTATGCCCCCAGCTCCACCCCTTCCTCAATAACTTCTACAAACAGCCAGCTATCTTGTTCGTACGAGGGAAGTCCATCCTGTCATCCGAAGGCACCACTCAAGGAGACGTGGTAGCAATGATCATGTACGCCATCAGCATGATCGCCCTTGTCTATGATAAAACCGTCACCGACATTCACAAGAATTTATACGCCGATGACGGAGCTGGTGCAGGAAAACTTATCCGTGTCAAAGAATGGTGGGAACTCATGAAAGTTCGAGGCCCGAATTACGGTTACTTCCCGGAGCCCTCCAAAACAGTACTCGTTGTCAAACCACAACACCTCGATGAAGCAGAAGCACTGTTCAAAAGTGACGGGTTGATTATTCGCACTTCGGGAAAGAAGTACTTAGGTGGTGTCATCGGCTCAACAGCTTTCTGTTCTGACTTCATCTTGCAAAAAACAGAGAAGTTCACAAGCATGGTGGAAAAGCTGACTGAAATAGCAGAGCAAGAACCGCAAGCCGCGTACGCTGGCCTTGTTTTCAGCCTGCAAAGCAAATGGTCGTACCTTCAGCGCATCATGGAAACTCCCGCGGAAGCATGGCATAACCTCTCAAGCTCTATCAACAACTTGCTCGAAACCATATTTGGTTGCAAACTGGATCCCACGTCGCTCGAACTTGCGCAGTTACCAGCCAGGTTGGGCGGCCTGAGCATTCGCGACCCAATTAGACAGAGTGCTCTAATGAACCGGGCTTCAGAAATCATTTGCGAACCACACGTGGACCTAATATGTACGCAATCTGAAAATTTTCCCTCTGGTTTCGAATCCGATCAGAAATCTAGAAGGGGTTATATTCGGAAACAAAACACCGAGACGCAAACAGAACTCCTGCAAACTATCCGGCCGAAGCTATCTGAGCGCCAAGACAGACTTCTAGAACATACGAGACGGAAAGGCACCTCAGCGTGGTTAACTACCCTCCCTATCAAAGAATTAGGGTATGCTCTCAACAAAAAGGAATTTCAAGACCTCCTCCGCCTCCGATACGGTATCAGTCTTGATAACCTTCCCATTGCCTGCGTCTGTGGGAAACCTTACGACATCACCCACGCCCTTAATTGCACCACTGGTGGTTTTATTCATAAAAGACACAACGAGTTGCGTGACCTGCTGGCGAACATCATACGCGAAACTTGTTTTGACGTCTCCATTGAACCGAGTCTCCAACCAGTTGTCCAAACTAACTCCAACCGTGCCGAAGATGGAGCAAGACTGGATATAGCAGCAAGGGGTTTCTGGCGGACCGGTCAACGCACTCTTTTCGACGTCCGAATTTTCAATCCCGGAGCCACCACCAATATCAACCGGAAAATTTCTGAAACCTTCAAACATCATGAACAAGAGAAAATCAAAAACTACCAGGAACGAATTTTGAACTCGGAGCATGCAAGTTTCACCCCCATTATCTATTCAACCAGTGGTGACTGCAGCAACCTGACTTCAACATTTAATTCCCAGCTAGCTCTCCTGACCTCTGAGAAGCGCGGAACCCACTATTCTGAAACTATTTCGTGGCTACGAACCCGTGTAAACTTTTGCATTATGAGAGGTGCCCTTCTTTGCATTAGAGGATCCCGCAAAATGAGAAGCCAGACCTGCTACAACCAAGATATTTCCATCAAAAATTCCCTATCACGACGCGACTAACCTTTCCTTTATTCTCTTCGCCCCGTTGCTGTTTTTCACTGAACTGTTGTTCTTAACTGTAATTTGGTGCTATTTTTTCAAAGCTGATATATAATACTTGTATATTGTACATATTTGTAGTTTTTCTTGCATATAATTAAGTTAATTTGAGTGAAAAAAAATGTTGTCGGCTTATTGGCCTAATTTTGAATCGTTTTAATTTTGATGCTACAGGTTTCAGTTTTATATTAATTTTTTGTCGACTAATTAGTTTCGTCCCAATTTAGTTCATATTATCCAAAAAAAATATGACGTCATAAATCGAATTTTTGAAATTTTAAAATACCAGAATATTCCAGTCCTCACCGTTTGGCCAATCGTTCCAATAACGTTCTTAATTCTTAATAATCACCAATCCGGAAGGCTCGCTGCTAAAAATTCGAATTCTGCAGAGATTGCATTTTTCACATTCTGGTCGAATGTCACATACTCCCCGGACAGTCCGGTCAATGTCCTCATTGAATCACGCAATGTTCGTAAAATGGTTACAGTGCCATCGAACAGAATTTACAAAATGCACGAAATTACTTTTATCTACGTCACATCGACTCACTGCAGAATACAAATGGCATCATAATACATCACTATAGCCTTCAAATCCTTTCATTAATCTGCACATTGAGGATATGACCTAAGATAAAAACATATTTTCTGACTTCCAATGTCAATGTCCCGATTAAAACTTTTTCTCTTAGATTTAAATGGTGTTGGCTTGCAGGACAGTCCTGCCAACCAACAAGCTGAAATTATCCTACTACGCTTTTCCCTTCGGAAATCTTGCTTGTTATTGTCCTGAATACTAAAACTAAGAAACTCTGTGGTTAGAAAGAACAATGAAACAACCTCCCTCTTCGAGAGATTACTCAAGCCTTCCATGTCACCACAAAGTGATCAGTTCTCCTAGCTGATTAAAAACAGTGATGCAGGCTGGAATATTTAAATATACTCCTTCACTTAAGCCTTCCTAATAAATAGTAAGTGAGTGTCTCTAAAGCCACTTCAACTAAGATCAAAATGCAAATCTATAAATGCAACAATTTCAAAACTCAACTTAATGTTTCAGTTTTCAATTACAACTTGGTTGCTTGGTTTCTCACTTGAGTTTTTCACACACATAAAAAATTCTGAGTTTTAACTTTTCTTCATCACTCCTTTGTTTTCTTCTTTTTTCGTCGTTTAGAAGTTCTAAAACTTCTAAATTCTTCTAATTTCATCTCTTTTTTCATCTTGTCTTTCGGTCATCCGTCAATGTTCCATTTCTTCCTGACTCTGCACTCTCAGTTTCCGTATCTTGTAACACGTCGTTAGCTATCCTGACGCTGCTGTAAGCCGTCCTCCAACACTTCTGCTCTTCCACCCTTTGTTTACAACAAGGTAGGGGATCCACGTTAGATTCTCTGTTCCTGCAGAAGCTGTTGTGGAGACACAACGTCACGTTTCTCTCCAAATCTTCTTTCAGCATGTCTGCCTTCTCCTTTCTACTACGTTCACTCGTCCTGGAAATTCTTTTCACAGCGGTGATCACTGCATTCCGATGAGTCACGAGAGCTCGCTTGATATTCACTGTACACCCTGCCGTGCTTCGACATATGCTTTTTCGCATACTCGTACAACCATGCAGTCATGTTAGCTCTGAACCATGGCATCAATCGTTTTCTTGCCCATATCTTCTTCACTTCCATCGGAATGTTTAGAACTTTGCACATTGTCTCAAAAAGATCTAAATCTTTTAGACAATCTAATTTCCGCAACTGTTCTCTCGTCGGTGCCTCTTGTCTGTTAT